CTGGAGGGAGTCTGTTGTGATACCATTGCAAAGCTGGGTAAGATCCTAGCATCCCAGAAAATTACAGACCTATTTCACTAATATCGTGTCTCAGCATGACATCCGAAGCCATAACAAAAAGTTAAATTGGTTTATTGAGAAAAAAGGTCTGTACAATATCAGGCACTTTAGCTCTGAAGAATGTAGACCTCCTTGAAAGTGCTATTGGAACACTTTCTTAGAGACAGAGCATGCTGTCTTCTTCATGCTCGAAAAAGCATACGATACTACCTGAAGATTTGGAATTCTTAAGAAACTTTATGATTGGGGTTTAAGAGGGAAATGACTACATTTTTTAAAAACTTCCTCGAAATGAGGAAATTCCGGGTGAGATTAGGTACCACCTTATCCGGTACGTTAATACAAGAAAATGGTATTCCTCAGGGTTCGGTTCTGAGGGTCACTTTATTTTCTATTGCGGTAAATGGTCTGGTTGATAATATAAATGATCATACAGTCAGGCCTTTGTATGTCGATGAGCTTTGCTTTTCCTTGTCCGAAAATCTTCGAAATGTGGAAAGGACTTTACAAAATGTCATTGACATGAAAAGCAGAAGATAAGGGTTTCAAATTTGTACACTTTTGTAGACTGAGAAAACATTATGAAACACCTCGGCGTTTCCTTTCTGGCATTGAAATAAAGGAAGTCAATGTTGTCAAATATTTAGGCGTTTCTTTCAACAAAGCTCTTCGATGGAAATCTCAAATGCCCAACCGACTAATTCAGGAAGGAAAATACTGGGTCTGATTCCTCGTTAATTATATTTAGAGAGTGAATAGGGACATTCTTTTAAGAATATTTAGCATATACTTAGCAGTAAGTTTAGATATGGAGCAGCAGTTTATAGTTCAGTGCAAAACTGCTAGATAGGATTAATTAGTAAGGTATCAGATTGCAACAGGGGTGTTTAGAAAAAGCCCATTATATAGTCTGCAATGATGCTAGATGCTGTATCAATATAGCTCAAAACTTGATTTTTTCCGGAGTGGAAATTCTTGCTCGTTTCAAGTTTTATGGTCAGGTGATCTCCCACTTATATTAATGTAAGCCATTTTAAACAAATCAAAAATTCATGAGTTTTAATTTTTAGAAAAATAATTATGATGGTTGAAAGAAATTTCACCAAAGCACTAGAAAATAATTTAGTTATGAGTAAAATTTAACTAACAATTTTTTTAACCTTGTTTTGTACTTAATATGTTATTATGAGCATTGTACCACAGGTCCCACAAAATAAAAGCTCACACTAGCCATCCTACCACAGATCACTTCTTTACTTTAACCATTTTTGGAAGTTGGAATTCCCAGCGGGCTGCAATGGGCATGCATTATCTGTGTGCACATTTGGCCTTATCACAAATTAGTAACCAGAATAAGCATCACAGCTAGGTCACTAACTTCACCTTTACCTTTCAGGATCAAGATTGCAGTTATCTTGCATTATGCTGCAATCCCTTTTGTTACCAATCAATTTCCTACAATTATAAACCAATTATTAGCATCGGCTAGATTGTGTACAAAAGTTTTACATTTGCCATTTAAGCAATTCCTTGAGCATCTTCAGCCCCCATTTATTTATTTATTTTTTTTTTTTGGTCATAAACAGCAGCATACACAGATAAAAAGTGAAGGCAATGGCAAGCAACTACTCATATATTTACCTTGAAACTGTACTAAGAGTATGGCCTGTGAGGAGCCAGGTAACACAACAGGACAAAAGGGTATATGAGCAGCATATATATATAATTATGCAGGGCGGGCGACCAAGTCCCGAGGGGTTAAATGCCTGGGTAGACTCGTACCCCCTAAAGGGTCCGGGATTTGGTCGGTTCACGTGTCCTGCATAAACCTCTTGGACTTGTTCACAAACCCCAAGATTTTGGACCATTTTAACTCAGGGGGAGTGATTTGGTAATGTCCCCTCCTTCAAAAGTTTCGAATCTATACCTGATGTACCTATCACACTCTGTGAGGTAGTGCGTGCCGTTTCTTCTTTTATTTCACAAAAACGGCAGAAGGGGTCTGGTAAAATACCCATTACGAAGAGGTCTTCTCAAAGGGCAATGGCCGTCAGGATACCTATCAGCCTCCTAATTCCCTTCCTTGAGTTAGAGAATAGCCATTTCGATTCTATTGGTTTGATATTCACAAACTCCTTCGATTGCCTATGTCCGGGGGACAGATTCCATTCTTTAAGGAATTGTTTCATGCCCCAGCTATTAATACTCTCTTTCACTGTGCTTATAGAGTGGGGTAATACCAGGTATGGCCTGACAAATATAGTATTTGAGCCTTCTTTGGCCAGGCTATCCTCCTCTTCATTGCCATAGTGTCCTTTATGTGCTGGTATCCAAATGAGGGTTACCCTATTCTCATACCTAGAAGTCATCCTATTGATAAGTTCAACAGTTTCCTCCACCAGCCTAGATGTTGATAACTCTTTTTGTAATGACCTAAGACTGGCCTGTCGGAAAAAATTCTAATATCTTTTCCCTTGATTTTATTATCCATAAGTGTTCTGCAGCAAACATTAATGGCCCATATTTCCGCCTGAAAAACGGAGGTGTTATTTCCAAGAGGGGAGGAGATGCTGATCCCTAATTTAGGTATATGTATTCCAGCACCGCTTCCCTTGCCTTTAATAAGTGAACCATCGGTGAAACAGTCTATGTTACGATGGTCATCATCCGCGCTGTAGTTAGATTCACGCGGAGTAACTACCTGTATATGGGCAGCATTCTCAACCTGGATTTCCATTGGACAAAAATTACTCGCATAACAGCCGTCTCAGTTTAAAACCATTTCCACAAGGCAAAACAAGGTGAGCCAACGAAACCTCTCTTGTCCTTATTTTGATGCTTTTCTCTTTAGCATCCCACAAAAACTGAGAGCTCTGATATAGTTGTATAAGTGAAATACAGTCCTCCTGGTTCATTATGAAGCTCGAGAAGTGTGCGTTTACACAGAGAGATACTAGAGCAATGAAAAACTGACAGTTGGAAGGCTCGCTTCGAAACACCCTCGCATCAAAAGTTTTGGAGTCCCAGCTAGGTATCCACAATGCAAGACGAGTTTCGCACAGTGAAAACCCAGCTTCTAGGATTAGTATATTCATACTTTTCTTCTTCCTTGCAATACTTGAATGTGACTATGAGAAAGGTGTGTGAAACATGCATCAAAGCCTGGAGCTCCTCACACATGCAGCTCTGTTCTGCTGTGCAGCTCATACAATCCATCTTACTACAGGTGACTTCCTTACCATTTTTGGAAGTTGGAATTCCTAGTGGGCTGCAATGGACATGCATTATCTGTGTGCAGATATGAGCTTACTATAAATCAGTAATCAGAGTAAGCATCACACAAGTCACTAATATTTTCTTTGGTGATTGATCAGCCTTCTCAGTTTAAATATATTTTTTTCTTTCCAAAAGGTAGATTGGGGATGAGGCCAGGAAGACAGAAACAACATTTATTTTCTTGTCAAGCTTTCGGCAGAATATATCGCCTTCTACCGGCTATCCGTTATCCACACATGTACCTGTTCATATAGTATAACAATTTTTTTCGAAGTCCTGATGAAGGCGATATATTCTGCCGAAAGCTCGACAAGAAAATAAATGTTGTTTCTGTCTTCCTGGCCTCATCCCCAATCTACCTTTTGGAAAGAAAAAAATATATATAAGTCACTAAGTACACAGTTTTCTTCCTGAGGACCAAGATTGCAGTTATATTGCATTACGCTGCAATCCCTTTTGTACCAATAAATTTACTACAATTATCAACGATTTATTCGCATCGGCTTTACTAATAGAATGTGTATAAAAGCTTTACACGGCAATTTATTGTTTCTACTCGTTGCCGTTTAAGAAATTCCTTGAGCATCTTCAGCCCTTTTTTATCAGGTCTCGTCGTTTTCTTTGATTTTTAATATTTGCCAACGAGATTTTCGGGAAATTGATTTAATAAATAAAAAAAATGAACGAATGAAAAAAAGTGTGAGATGTCTCTTGGGTGAAAGTGAAAAGCCGACCTAAGCCAGTGTTTCAACCTAGGGGCATTACAAAACCGAAGAAAATGGCGGGAAATTCAAATTCCTCGTTAAGCCCTCAGATTTTCATATTTTCCCGACGAAAAGGTCGAAGGGGTTTTGATACAAAACCAAGCTTTTTTTTAAACTTACAGACGATTTTCGAATGTAAATCACTTGTGGTACCGTGTTAAAGGGGATGTAAACAAACAATGATTTTTTAAGTGAAGGTTGTTTCCGTTTTAAGATTTTTGTCGTGAAAATGTATTTTTTCGGGGTTTTTTGTTGTTTAGTGATGGATTGTTAAAAAGTCACGAATATGCAAGATGATTTTTAAGCCGGTGTTGAAGAATGCTGGTGTAAATGTGGAAAATATGTGGATTGAGTACGGTAAACTTATGTCGGATTGATTAGTTGAATTTTTTTTTTTAGTATTAACTGTCACATACTGCGAAGCTTGTACAATAATAAATTACAGTCATTTTAAAACAGTTCAGTCCGTTTTTTACTCGCGTATGTCCAATTCGTAGGGTGTGTTTTGATTTTGTGAAAATTACCGGTCGTCCGTCAGCCAGGCGAATGCAGATTTTTTTTCCTCCGATTGGGTGCCGGTGATGTCCGAGACGTCGTCCCGCGATGGAACCCGGAAGAAATCTTCATCGACGAGGAAGGACGGCCGGAAAGGGCGAGAACTACGACGATGCCGGGGTCGAATCTCCTGAGGAGAGCGAAACGCACGGGGGGCCGCTGGAGCAATTACACTTCGTCTATGTTCGGTTCGCCTTGTGACGTCAGAGGCTCGGGTCCGTGTCGGCGTCGGCCAATCGGATCCCGCCTTTCGGTCACGTGGCCTCCGCCGGCCAATCCCAGGCCGCACAGCTCATTTATAGTCGGATATTTTCTGACAAGCGTAGAAAAACTTTTCATCAACAGCCGCCATATTGGTGTGTCGGAGAGTGAGTGAAAATAACATTTTATTCCGAAGGGATGGAAAATAATTTCGACAAATGCCGGATTATTTATTCGACGCGGTGAACGGGCTGAGGTGCGTCTTCGTGCGGGTCGTTTAAGGGTCCGGATCGTTTCTAGTGGTTATACGGCGATATCGACTCGATGATTTACATCTGGATCATTGTCTAGGTTGAGAAGGAAGATGGAGAGAGGAACGTAAAGCTCGTCGGGTCGGCTTGGGGCTTCGTTATGCCCGATGGTGTATTTTGATCCGTTGATATGTGCCTTTTTAGACGTTTCCCGCATCGGACACTCGGCACGGATCAGATTAAAACGAATATTTTCGGATGGGACAGATACGAAAACCATGTGTAGTGGATTGGATTTGTTATAAATACGGTTCATCGTAGTGAGTAGGCACGGCTTTTGTAAACAGGGGAGATATGGCCGAACATCTCGTCGACGGTCCGCCAAACAAGCGGCCCAAATTAACCGATCATTTTCAAACGGCCACGGATTCTTCTGGTAAGTCGAAGATTTTATACAATTTTTTTCTATTTATTTCTCGAAAGGCGTTTTTCTAATATTACGGCCCGTCTGGGAAATTTCCCTCCTCTCGTCCGATTTTTACCCGCCTCCCAGAACTCCTGTATTTATATTGGAATCGAGGGGTTTCCACTCAGTTTTATCGGCCGACGAACCTTCTCGAACCCCGATCCGACGGCGTTTCCTCTCGGCCGCCCCGTCCTCCCTGAGTCGGGAAACGCCGTTTTTCACATTTAAACACGGTTTTTTCACATTTTCATCCAAAAACACTCCGGCGTTTTTTATATAAAAAGAATTTCTTCTCCTTTTTCCACATCACGACCATCGTTATCATCCCCCGATTTTCTCATTTTAAGTTAGAATTTCATCCCTCTGTAAATCTTCCGCCCCCTTTCAACACACATTTCTATAAACAACCTGCAACTTCTTGATTACATTTATTTACACAATTCTTCACTCGTTTAATTTTTTTTCTTCACTTCTATGTATATTACATTTGACTCTTACATTTAACAGGCTCAATAATATTAATGAAAAATTGTTTCTCATGTCTCAACAAGGTTACTTTATCCTATTTACTCCAAAGAACAGGTCTCCCTCAATTTTTTTTTTCGTTAACACTTGTTCATTGACACTTGCACCTTCTTAGAGTCATTTGTATATTTTGAGAACTAATCGTACAATTCTTGAACATGATGATATAAACTCACATTCGGCTTTCATGTTTTAACAACAACTCAACGTTTCTACCCTTTTATAAATTCGAAAAGAGCCAAGAAGCATTTCATATCAACATGTAAAATTTGCTGTTTGATTTGCAAAATTTTAGGGGATTCTGGGGTTTGTTACAATAAACATGTAATTCAGCATTTGCCAATACGAAAGGATCTTTTTAGTGGTTTAGTAACTGCTTTTTATTATAATTTGTTTATGAAGTAAAAGAGAACATGCCTTTTCCAACAATTGTTCATTGACACTTTCTGCTTTATATGGACATTTGTACAATTTTTAAATGTAATGACTGATGGATTTGTTCCACTTTTCCATAAATTCGACTCTATTTATCATCCCTTAATTTTCTCACTTTCAGTTAGAATTTCATCCCCCTGTAAATCCTCCACCCTCACACATGTTATGTATAAACAACTTGAAACTTCTTGATTACATTTATTTTGACAATTCTTCACTCATTTAATTTTTTTTTTACTTCTATGTTTATTCAATTTGACTTATTTTAATTTTACACCCTCAAAAATATTTAATAAAAACACAATTTGTTTCTCAGATCTCAGCAAGGTTATTATCCCATTTATGCCAAAGAACATGGTCTTCCTAAATTTTTTTTATTTTTTTTATTAACAGTTGTTTGTTCGTTGACACTTGCAGCTTCATAGGGTCATTTGTATATTTTAAGGACTAAACAAACAAAAATCATGATGTGCAATCGCTTTCTTGCTTTAACGCGACATGTAAACATTTCTGAGCTTTTATAAATTCAAAAAGCTCCAAGAAGCATTTCTAAACATACACAAAGTTGGTCTTCATTTTAGGGGATTCTGGATTTCGTTATTTTGATACACATGTAATTCAGCATTCGCCATGCCTCCGAAAGTATTTTATTTTTAGTGACTTAACAAGTGGTTTTTATTATAATTTGTTTATATGGTAAAACTCAATGATGGTTTTTCAGTGCCATAACATGGGTTATTTTATTTTGTTTACTCTAAAGAACATGCATTTTCCAACAATTGTTCATTGACACTTGCTGCTTCTTATGATCATTTGTGAGCAATTGCGATCAGAATTTCATCCCCCTGAAATTTTCCACCCCCTTTTCAATACACATTTGTATAAACAACTTAAAACTTTTTGATTACATTTATTTAGACAATTTTTCATTCTTTCAAATTTTTTCTTCATTTCTATGTACACTCAATTTGACTCATTTACATTTAACAGGCTCAAAAATATTTGTAAACAATCGTTTCTCATGTCTCAACAAGGTTACTTTATCCTATTTACATCAAAGAACATGGTATTCCTCAATTTTTATTTTTTTTATTAACAATTGTTCATTGACACTTGCAGTTTCTTAGGGTCATTTGTATATTTTGAGAACTACTCGCACAATGATCGTTAGTGTCTTAACTTGGCTTATTTTATTTACAACACAGACCATGCTTTTTCCAAAATTGTTCCTTGCCACTTTCTTCTTTTTATGGCCATTTATACAATTTTTAATTGTAATGACTGATGGATTTGTTCCTCTTTTTGGTAAACATTTCTTTGCTTTTTTAAATTTAGAAAGGCCCCCCAAGCATTTCGTATCAACATGTACAAATTTGTTGAACAATTTGCAAAATTTTAGAGGATTTTGATCTTGTTGTACTATATACATGTAATGTGCCTGAAAGGATACCTAGCAAGTATTTTTTATTAAAATTTGCTTATATGGTGTAACAAAATTATTGTTACTCAGTGTCCTGACATGGGTTATATTTTGTTTTTACTATGAAGAACTTAATTTTTCCATCAAGTGCGCATTAGCACTTGCTGCATCTTTGGGATATTTGCATATTGTTAATGATTATTGATGATAATGTGTATTCATCTTTTACACATTGGAAACAATGCAAGGAGATTCCATGTTTTGATGTTTGTAAGACGAAAAATGGGTTGTAAGTTTTGTTAAACAGTGTACAGAAAATTCAGAAATTTTAAAATCTTGTCTGCAAAAGAAACTTTTAACAGCATACAAGTGGTTATTATTTTATTTGGTAACAATAATTGTTTCTCAGGTTATAACAATTGTTATACACAGATTATTTTTTTATTTATTACAACAAAAAAATCCATTAACTTGTTCATTCATTTGTTCATCATTGATTATTATATCAATTAGATCCATATTCACATTCAACAACACATTTAAGCAAAACTGCAGTTTCATCACGTGGCAGTCTATATTTTAAATAATTGTCATTTACTCAAAACAGAATTGTTTGGTTTTCTTGTTATAATATGCCAGTGCTCTCTTATATTTGATTAAAAAAAACAAGCAATAAACATTTTATAGTAGTATGCACAATTTTGATGTTTATTTGAGAAGTGTGTTTTGAATGTGTTGAAATTTTTGGGGTTCGTAGTTTCGTAGTTATTTAATTTTTACCTCAATGACTATGCCTTGCTTCTTTTTTTGTCTGATTTGTAGGGGACTTCATTTGGTATGTATTTTCAGGGGGATCTTGGATTTTCTCATATGTTACACATGAAATTATCTTGTCCCCAAAGGAAATTTTTTGTCTTATCACATTAATTTTTATTTTTCTCATCTTCATTTTCTCTGTGATCGTGACTTCCATCAATTTTTTGTTTTTAATCATCATCAATTCATCAACACTTAACTACCTCAGGGTTATTTTTCCAATTTGAACAATAATAATACATTATTCACAAAATAATTATAAATTGCATTACAAAAATATTCCAAACACAACTATTAATTTGGTGAATTCTTGATTATGTTGGCCTGCCCTTACTTTTAGCGTATTCATTTGGGGGATATAACAGAGACATGCGTACATTTGTGCTTTCACGTCTGCCATTCATGCTTTAGGTCGCAGTAGTTCTACAATTTTACAAACTTTTTTTATGACTGTTGCCTTGTGTGAAGAATGGAGGAGGGGGGCTTGGTTTGTTTTCTTAGTATGATGCACTTCAAAATCAGCACAAACGTTTGTGAATGGAAATCAATTTGTTTTAATGAATTACCAGTGCAGTTATTTGTAAGATTTGTTACTCAGGTCTTGAAGTTTATTCCAAATACCCTAAGTTTTGTTTCATATACATTGATACTTGCAAATTCTTAGGAACATTTCTACAGTTTGGACAGGAATCACATTTGATATTTGTAATCAAATTCATGATCATGTTTTACATGTGGCTTTCATACAATAACATTAACGTGTAATTTTTAGCACATATCTTGCCTGCAAAAGAAAAACATTTTTCTGTATTATTAATATATTTATAGCACCTAATTAGTTACTCAGTTTTTGTTTTGTTTTATTTACCCAAACATCATTCCTCCTATATTTATGTTTTTACATGGCACCCAGGAGCATAGTAGTTTCATTATATTACAAAAATTATTGTCAACACCGGGTTTTATGAATGAACAAAAACATAAATTCATTCAAATAAACCTTAACTATTTCATTTTTATATAGTTGTATAACATAAACTTACTTGCATTTCGTTATTGCTCACATTTTGCACTAATTAGATATGTTCATTATGCAAAATTATGTTGTAATTTGGGTCCAGAAATTCTATTTATGCTAAGAACATGCTCTCTTTCATTTTTAATCATCCACTGATATTTCCAGCTTCTTAGGATCTTTTTGAATTTAAACAGCATTTCTGTTTAGTTATATTAATACTATTAGTTTTAAATTGATTATTATTCGGTTGTGCCGTATAAAATGTCAGTTTTGTTTTCTTTCTTAATCCTCCTCCTTTTTTATTAATTCAATGTTTACAAACATAGTTTTCATTCATACCAAATTAAAGCTCTTTTATACCTCCTACTTCTTCAGTCATTGGTTTGCTTTCATTTGTGAAATTTCTTTGAGAAATAAATTATTATCAACAACAATGACCTCACTGGAATAATATAATAATAATTTTTCGGTATGAATTTACACTTGGCCATATCGCTGTTGAGGCGTGCCGCCGTATTATCAATTTTGGGAAGGATTCTGCGAATGAAAAAACTGTTTACCCTGGTTTTCAAGGTTTCGGAGTGGCAATTTTGACAACGAGGTACGACGGAAACCAAACTGCATAATCACTAGCTGAGGGCAATGGCCGAGTCTTGTCCCTCAAAAACCACTAGGGAATATGCCAAAGAACGAACTGGGTGCGACAACCGTTTCAAAGCATTATTTAAAAGAAATCGGGAAAATGAAAAAAAAAAATTGGATAAATGAGTACCACATGAATTGTCTGAAACACAGAAAGATCAACTTTATGGAATTTGTTCTTTGCTTTTGCTACAAAATCACAATGAACGATTTTTGAACTGGGTTCTCACTTTTGGCAAAAATTGGGTCTTGTACGAGAATCAGATAGGGTCAGCTCAATGGTTGGACGGAGTTGAGGCGCCAAAGTAGATGGCAAAATCAAGCCTGCACTCGAAAGAATTAAGTTGACTGTTTGGTGGGGAATGGGTGGTTTGATCTATTTTAATTTTTTAAACCCTGGCGAAACAACCACAGCAAACTTGTATTGCCAAGAAGTAGAAATCTTTATCAGAAACTCCAAGAAAAACATCTAATAGAAAGATCAATTAGAATACTATACTCCTGCACGACAATGCTCGTTTCTGCAGTTCAAGATTGTCAATGCAACAACTTCAACAGCTTAAAATTGAAGTTCTTCCACACTGACCGTATTCACCTGACCTATCACCAACTGACCTCAACCTGTTTTTGTGCCCTGGACCATTTTCTAAGTAATAAGATTTTTCAATCTGGAGGTGCTCTCAAAACAGCAATCGAAGAATTCCTTACATCTTGAACTCAAACGTCTACGAGGATGGGATAAAAAAAGCTTACAGTTGGGAGAAGTGTATTTCACCTAAAGGAGAATATTTTTATAGATTAAAGAGGTATTTATCGTATTGATTCCAGCTTTATAATATTGCCCCAATTACTGACATTTCATATGGTTCAATTGGATATTTGTGAATGTACACTTTTGTTTGCATCCACCTTGTGCAGAATCATTTCGCTTGCGCATAACAGAAACATGCAAACATTTTATCATAGCACACATTGTTGCATTCTCATTTTGGGATTATTTTGTGTGGATCCGAGGTTTTGGTGAGCTCAAGGCGGGGAGGGGGGATTTACTCGATGCACATGAAAATTGTCACACATTTTTTTATCTGCATTTTTTATATTATTATTTTCATCATTCTCCAAATAGTTTCATTTGCCTTAGCAAGTTTATTTTATCTTTATTTTTTTCCTAAAGAATATTCCTTTCCTCACATATATTGGCCACATACTCAATAATCCCATTTCATTTAGTTTTGTTCTTCATTGACAGTTGCAGCTTCCTTGTGCAATTTGAATGGTAATTAATCTTTGCAACAACAAAAACTAATGGAAAACAATTGAATTCTTAGTTATTAGTTTTGCATCGATGGTTATGAATTGTGTTTAAACAGACTTTCACAGAATCATTGTTCTTATGTGTCACAAGATAATGCAGACTTTTCAGCACTTCTCTACCACAATGTCAATATTTAGAGAGAAAAATGACCTGACCAAAATGTTAACACAGCACATGCACATGCACAATAACCCATGTTCAAGAAGTAAACATGTCAAGGGATTATTAATTAAAGTTTATTTCTGTAGGTTTGTGCAATTCTTCAAATTATACAATCAACTTTATAACATTTACTTAGACGTTATATTTTTTTTCCTGCTGCTTCAGTTGTCACACACGCTTTGCTAAAAGAGTTTTATTCACAATTATAGCTTTCATTTTTGCCTGTATACACTAAAAAAGAGAATAGCTACGTTTTTCATCTCCCGTCCACCTTTGCACATGAATTCATCTTGCCCGGTCCAAATTTCATTTCATCTTTCATTACATTCTTATATATATTGCCTCTATATAGCTCGTACGAATTATTATGGAAATTAATAATACAAATGTCATCAATTATTCCAGTTCTAATGAGGTATACAGAAGAGAGAATGAGAGAAAATAGAGCATTTTCAAGACAAAATTATTAATTTTCAATATCAGCTCATTCTCTTTTGTATTATAGGGATTAACTAGAGATAATTGTTTGAGCATTTTTCACTTGTTAATTCAAGTGCAACAGAAGTTATAATTATTGTGAAGGATTATCTCAAAAACAGTATTAAAATTTATCTTAACAATTTGGCGTTATTTCAGTATCCATTCTGTTTGAAAATGCTTGCTTCTTATTTATTTTTTAAAATATTAAGTAGAGACATTGTTTTATGTTTTCGACTTGTTTTCTTCAAGGCAAGTTGTCTTCTAAATGTTATTTGTTTTCTGTATATCTCATTTTGAAATTAAACACCATCCTATTTGCACTAATTGTTATAATTATTAATAAATATTATAATCAAATTTTTGAGTATGAGAAATTGTTCTTTTTATAAGGTGTGACAAAAACTTAAAATTAAAAACTCAAGAATTTGGTTACTAAATAATTAATGTTAGTGAAAAAAATTTAAATTCCAATCTGTGTCAATTTATAAATGTACATTTATATGATTTCGTTAGTTTTAAATATTATGCGTTCATGTATTTATTTTACTGTAAGCAAATCAATGTTTAGCATGGCTAATATAACTGCATGGGCATTGGTAGGAAAAATTGCATGATTTAACTTTAAGATGGCCAACTTTTTTAGACAAAAGTTTTCTATATCCGGTTCTGCTCATTTCATTAAGAACGATAAAAAGTGGAATTTGATGGTTAAAAACAGTCCTGTTTCTCAAAACAGTGTTATAACTACAATCCAAAAAAAGTATCTAAACAAGATCAAACGGTCTTTACCAACTTTCTGATAGAAATGACAAAATTTAAATGTTTTTTTATACAAATGATAGCCATAAGGGTTTTTGTGTGGGTGCAGGCGTTATGGCGCCTGGGACTACGATGCCGTATGGGACCTATGGTGGCATGCCTGGAGTATTGTCAGGTCATCAGCAACATCAGTGGAACGCACCCAAGAGAAGTAATAATAAAAAATTGGAACAATTATGAAAAATGAGGCAGAGAAAAAGCATTGAATGGAAATTTCAAATAACTACAAGAAAAAAGTTAAATCTCCTACCAAAACTCGTTAATTGGGTTGACATCTCCCCTTTTTTGTTTTGTTTTGTTTTTAAATTTATTTTTAATTTATAGATGTCAACTGTAAAATTTCTTATGCGTTTTCTGCTTCTGATTATTTTAATATTATCAATTTATGATTTAAATTTTTCATTTATATATTGAGATAAAAATGAATTTGTTTCTGTTTACTTTTGTTTAATCGGGCAATTTCTGTATTTATAGTAGAAAGGGATTGGATTTTTTGCTTATAAAATTATTATTAGACAAAATAGTTAATAATTTTTATTGTTATATTTAAATTCGGAGAAAACGCTCTTTCATAAAAGAAAAAGAAGAATAGGAAATATATCTGCAATATTATTCAGTGAAATTACTGACGGACAAAGGGGGAGGGGGCAAAATTTAAAGAGAAATTAATAAAGAGATCGAGTAATGAAATGAGTTCTAAAATGTTAGAGAAATTTCTCTTTTCTGGGAATTTCAATGCTGCTGAAAAATAGCTAATAGTATTGATATGTAGATGTGTGTAATTGGTTGTTCGTTTCCCTACTCCCCATATAGCACTTTTCACTTGTTAGCGTTCATTTCATTGGTGCCCTTTTGCTTTTTCTTACCTTTTTATTGATGTGCGAATCACTATAATTTTTATTGCTGTGAATTTTGTATTTTCACTTTTCTATTCTTTCTTTCTTTCTTTATTTTATTTTTGTTTTGTTTTTTAAATTGAAACAAAATGGTTACTGTTTGATCTCAAAAACAATAAGATATGTGTGAACTTAAGATCAGTCTATTCTTGCTGTTTGACTTTAAATGACACAATCTTAAGTGTGTTCCTTGTCAAAAATGACAGCGAGCATAGGCAGACCTGAATTGACCAGATTAGTGATTCAAAAAACTCGCTTACCACCCCTTTGCTAATTGAAATAACTGAAACATTAATGTAATATTACGCGTGTTGTTTCTCGAATAGTAGAGAAACCATGTATAATGAACTCCAATAACTTTGTTTCCATAAGGAGTAGCTTGATCTATCACCAATTGAATTTTAAAAATTCAAATTGTTAACGTTGTTACTAGGAATTCTTCATTACTTTTTCCAGATGTTACTCAGAAATAATATGCTTTGGAAAATAGAAACCTATTGGTGTTTTTCTTATTCTTAGAAGTGGTGGTGTCACATTTGGATTTGGCAGTTTTACGTTGTAATGCAATGAAGCTCTCATTTCTTAGTGAAGAAAAAGGGTATTAACTGCTTGGTAGTGTATAAAATATTGCAGATATATTATTTTTAATTTTAAAATTATATATAATCCTTTTGCTTTTAAAATGTCAGTCTAACCCTTCTTTTCAAAATCAGAAATAAAATCCGCCACAGTAGTTTGCTAAAGGCTAATTGATACTTTCAAAATAAAAGTACAACAAAATTAATTAACCAAATCCTAACCAAGTAACCAATTTGGTACAAAGGAATTCATTAAATGCATTTTATTTGTTTCTTTCATTTTAGGTCTTTTTTTAATTTTATTTATCGATGTGTAGTTGTGTTAGTATTTAATTATATTATTTTGAAATCATTGTTATATTTGTGTAATTTCATGCTTATCAATGTTTAGCCTGTAAGCACTTGTAATTATTTGTTCACCAATCTTGTGTCTGTAATTTGTATTTTTATTTTAAATGTAGGCTCTTTGAAAATAAACAGTCGTGTTAAATTTTATTTTTATTTTGATGGATTTCATAAATGTGTTTATTTATATTCATAATTTTAAAATTAGTTCGCATGATTTAATTGTAGCATGTTTAGTCTCAATTTTGCTCGTTATATCTGGTTCAATTTGTAACCATTTATGTAAATAAATTACACATTTGCATATAATTTCAAGATAATCTTAGACAAATAAAATCATTACACAAATATAACATTGTATAGGAAGTATAGCCAGGATAAGAAGACTTGTTTCGATTTAGTGCTAAACCCGGTTTTAATAAAATTTTCAGCTGACATTTTCAGTAGCACTGATATGTTTGACTTGGAAAATGATTTGCCTGATGAATTAAATTCATGGGGTTCGACATCAGATGCACCGCCAAGTAACAAGCCACCAGCAACTGGCCCAGGGCCAGGTTCAATGCAAAATGGAGGCATTGATCCCAATGATCAGACACGATTGCAACATCACCTCATACAGCAGGTAACAATAGTTGACACTCGCATAACAAATTAATACATTTTGGATAAAGATGGAGGAAAATCGTCTTATATTAGAGGAATTTTCAGGGGGCAAAAACACAGTTAGTTGGACTCGGCTTGAAAAGTCAAGCTGCCACTCTTCAATCTCCTCCTAATGTCTCTGTGAGCAAAACGGTCGATCCTATGGTGGTATCTATGCAACATCAGCTGCAACCTGGCCCAATAAATAATGCTGGTAAGTTTTTCTTACTGTTTTGTGAGGTTTATTCTTCTTGCAATGAAACTATTTTAAATTCTTGTGCTTTTAAGGTATGATTATGACAAGCTCAAATCCAATGGGGGCGAGCACTTTAGTAGTAACAAATAAGCAGCAACCTCTGTCGGCAGCAGTCGCTTCCATGATGGCAGGTGCTCCCCCTAATACAACTGCTCCTCCTCCTCAAGGTAATTAATAATATTTTCAGTTGCAATAAGAAAATTCAAACTGTTCTAACAATGTTCCATTCCCATGTGAAATAATGTTCAGAAACGAAAAGATGAAACTAGAAATTTAAACAACACTAAGATTGTGTTATCATTCTTTCCAATACGTTCAAGCAGTCAAGTAGATTTAGTTTAAAAAATTTAATTGTATTTCTGATGATTTTTTCAAGTTTGTTTGAAATTTAATTGATCGTCAAACCTTAAACTTAGATATGGGCAATGAGTTTTGGTTACATTATTTTTTAAGTTCTGTGTAGATTTTTAGAAGTAGTATTGAATGTTGCCAAAATAATTGGTTTAAAAAGTCGTAATTTGGAAAAAATATTCATGAATATATAACAAAAAATTAGTTGAGATCAGAATCATTCAAGAAGTTAAATAGTTTGATTTAAAAATACCCTGATCACATATACTCAGAAGTATAACAGTTAAACGCACACATATTTTTTGATTGTGAGATTTCCTCCTGGGTTCTACGGGATGATAAACCTATTGTTTGTTAGTTCTCTATCATCCTGGTCTGCCTATCCTCACTGATTCTTGTTAATTCAGATGCGTTTCGCCGTATTCAAAGTTTGGATGATTTTTGTGGAGTCATGCCATGAGAAGATGGCAAAATGCCGAAATGCATCTGAATTAACCAAAATCAGTGAGGATAGGGAGGCCAGAACAATTTAACAATATATTGTTTGACCTATAAAAAATTAAACAAGTTTTGTCTGAATTTAACCATTATCCATGTATGATGAAATGACGTTGAGAAAAATTAAAGGAAACAAACACTGCACAGTTTGTAAATTTTCTAAAACATAATAAAAATCTGCCTTTCAGTAATTCTATATTACTATATGTACACCACAAAATGACCTTGACTACTAGGTTGGTGATGAATATAGGTTTTTTCCCCATTTATAGGCAATTTCTTCCATGCTTACTTAATAAATTATTATATTATTTTATTTGTTTATCCCCATGTTTGGATTAACCCCTTATAGGGCAAAGTTTTTGAAATCGAACATACTCTAAACCTCGGTAGTAACACAGTTCAAAATGAATTTATCTGCCGTTTTATGAGGGTTGGTGGGTGAAATACGTTATTTTTGTATGATTTTGACATCTTGAATGCTATGGGAACTGGTGTTATAATGTAAAAGGCATTGTACATACTGCTACTACAGGTGTACCACAACCACTACATTGTATTGAAATAATATTTCATTTCTTTTAATGTAAACGACTGTATGTTTTCTTATTAGGTCGGAATCGCAGTATTAAGAAGTAAAGAAAAATGACCTTAAATTGTTACTTATCAAAAATAAACCGTATTAAACTATTTTGTCAGAAGTCATAATACATGTTCTAACTTGATTGAATGATGAAGTTTCATTTCACATGAAAATTGATGATGAAAGCTTAAATTACCAGTAATAATTTTAAAAAAACACTTAGAATATAAAGTTTTATTCATGCTGCTATCAAAGAAAGTTCTTGTTTCTCCTTTAATTTTGTACAGATTGCTCTGAATAGTTAAGTAAAAATAGTTTCTTCCCTCTCCATATTAGATCGATACAGCAGTATAATATACTCCAAGTTTTGATATTTGAGGGTATAATTACATATTAATTTATTTTTGCAGGCATACTCCAACCAGGAGTTGGTCAAAATGGTCCTGTAGGGGGGATGCGAACACTGCCGGGTCATTTGGTAAATCGAGTTCAATCTCCCCTTAACACAATTCACGTTCAGCAGCCTCGGATACAGGTATGTACAATAGAGATTACTTTTCTTTTTATTAAATGCATTAAATTTTGTAAACTTAACATTTTTTCCTTGTGAAAAATTAAAATCAAACCCTTTTGAGAGTCGCATCAGGTTTACAAGACTCCTGTCCTATTAAATCCCTAAGTACATTGCTCCTCATCCCCAGACACTAAACATCGTCCGAGTATCCCGTCCCCTGGAATCCCAAAAGCCAGTGAGATCGCCACATGTTGTTATGTTGGTTAACAATAACAAACGACTGACGGCGTCTTCTGTTCAGGCTGAGAACATGTGCAGATTAGGCGGGACGCAGTATGGTTATGGAACTGTTGTCGCACCACAGCAGCGACCAGTGCCTCCAAGTTTATCAGCGATTCAGCAAAGGTTCCCCTCTTCGATCGGTGAGTTGTCACCTCACAAATACAATTTAGTATTGAAATTTAAATGTGAATTATATATATGTGTGTGTGTGTGTGTGTGTGTGTGTGTGTGTGTGTGTGTGTGTGTTTGTATTTGTATTTTATGTTACAGTTTTGTTCTGTTGATGATGTTTAATGTCAACATTTTAAATAGTACATGTTATCGTTTACTAACTTACTAACTTTCGCAGAAAAATCTAGGCCTACAATTCATTGCGTATTTTTTTATTAGCCTATTTAGGCACCTGCTAGGATAATTAGATTGAAATCTATCTCTAGTTGTCTCTTCTATTTAATTTTTAGAATTTTGATGTTTAGAAGTATTCTCTCAGTCGAAATTTAATTAATTGATTTTTTTCTGTTGACATGTTTTATTAGTTTCTGAAAAATCTTTCCTTTAAATTGATTTATATAGAAACAAAACATTTTCAATTTTATATTATTTTAAACTGTTTTTAAAAATATTTGAACAAAGGCCATTAAGCAACAGAATATTCCATGGGGATTTTTTAAATAGTTGATTATACTGATCAGCAATATGAATATATTTTATTTATTCATTTATAATTAAACATCATGAAAATACAATAAATAGACCAATGATATATATTAAAATATTTTTAAAAAAACTGTGCATGATTTGGTATATTCCATGATTAATGTAGGTGGTGCAAATGTAGTTGGCACAGATGCAGGCTTGGTTACAACTGGGCAGCAGGCTCCAACTGCTCAGCAAGGAACAGTGCCTTCTCCAGCTCAGCCAGTCTCCCAGACTGGAGGGCAACAAGCTGCTGCACCTGGCGGGTCTGCTGCAACAGCTGCACCTACTTCCACATCAGCAGATCCAGAGAAACGAAAGCTTATTCAGCAGCAGTTAGTTTTACTTCTTCATGCTCATAAATGTCAGAGAAGGGAGAGTCAGGCGAACGGAGAAGCTTGGCAGGTTGGTGTTTAATTATTTTTGTTAGCTTCTATCAGAATAGAAATGATTTTAAATTTTATCTTTCAGTGTACATTACCTCACTGCATGACAATGAAAAATGTTCTTAGTCATATGACAACTTGTCAAGCAGGGAAAACCTGTTCAGTACCACACTGTTCTTCATCTAGACAAATAATATCTCATTGGAAACACTGTACACGCTCAGATTGCCCAGTCTGTTTACCACTTAAACAAGCAGATAGACATCGAAACTCTAATGGTAAATAACCCCATCTAGTGTGGTTACACTATACATTTTTATAAACTGGATCTAATTTTGTTATTGTTTTTAAGCTGCAGCAGCAGTGCAGCCTGTCACAACTGCCCAAACTAACCCGTCAATGTCAGACATGAGGAGAGCATATGACGCCCTAGGAATACAAGTCCCTACTACTGGGGGCGGGGGCCAATTGATAGGTGCTCCTGGAGCCGGAGGACCCAGGGCTAGGCTTCCCGCCCCAGCAACAAGAGTTCTAACTCCAAGTACACAACCTCCCACTCAAGGTAATTAAAACTCCTCCAAAAAAAAGTTCAAAATTCACCAATTTGTTTGCATTGTACAATTATAATAAAAGTTTATCAGTAATGGTTTTTAGTCATACGTGCTTTTATTCTTATTTTATAGGCCATGTTTAACTTTTTTATTCAAAATCGAAAACTTAATGAAATCGGTTCTATAAAAGTACTAGATTCTGTACGAATAATTTTATTATTAATTCAGGTGCAACTGTGGTTGGTCAGACCCCACAAGTAACTCAGCCTTTAGACTCTCAGGCCCAGCAAGGTCCTAGTGCGGCTGCAGCAGCACAAACAGCAGCCAATATCCAGCAGGTTGCGAGTATGCACAATAACTTATTTGGACTTGTTTCTAATGCTGACGTACCTACAAGCAATGTAATTATTAGTTACTAAATTAATTTTCTCTTTATGATCTTATCTTGAAGTATTTTAATTGTTTTGTTGGTTTTTGCTTATACAGCTAGGAAGTACTGAGAGCAGACTATCATCTCTTCAACTTCCACCTGGTATCCAAGTTGGTGTTGGCCAAGTCACTGCAAATCCTATTCAAGGAACCAAAGACTGGCATCACTCGGTAACACCTGATCTTAGAAATCATCTTGTACACAAGCTGTAAGTTTTAATTACCTTTTAATCATAATAACTGCTTCAAAATGCTTATTTTGTCTCATTTTTATTTAGGGTGCAAGCAATATTTCCAACTCCTGATCCTCAGGCAATGTTAGATAAAAGAATGCATAACCTGGTTGCTTATGCGCGTAAAGTTGAAGGAGATATGTATGAGATGGCAAATACACGGTCTGAATACTATCACCTATTAGCTGAGAAAATATATAAAATCCAAAAAGAATTAGAAGAAAAACGAATAAAGAGAAAAGAACAGCAACAGCAGTTGCAGCAAGCCCAGCAGCAACAGACGCAACAGCAGAGTCAGCAACCACAACCTCAACCAACCCAACCTCAACAACAGCAGCCACAGGTCAGGCCTTGTGCACCGACAGCTGCAGTACCTTCTAGACCTGTGACTTCCCAGCCTCTCCACACACACTCACCCGGTCTCGGCGGAATCGGTACTCGAATGCAAATGGGTCCTAGTCCGAATGCCCCTAACTCCCAACAAGCTGGATTATCACCGTTTGGCCCTACAGCCGCCAACAATCCTCCTTCCGTCCCTCCAACCACAACTAGTCAATTCCAGGCCACTAACCACCAGGTTTGTATACTACTTGAAAATTTCTTGTTCTAAAAAATTTCAAATAAATCATTATCTTCTTTTTTTCTCTCTCTCAAAAACAGCAACCAACGAGTGTAGCTGCTCGGCTCAGTGGTCCACAAATGTCTCCTGCCTTTGGATTAACAACGTTTCCCTCTCCAAGCCCACAGCAAGGGGTCACAAGTAATGGCAGTCGGCATCCTTCACCTCCGAGTTCACCAATGATGGCAGCAACAACCTCCCCAGCAGTTGTCAGTTCTTTGACACCTTCACCAAGCTCACAATTAGGAAAATTCTCAAATCACACCCCTGCACCACCACCCCCACGCGCTCCTCTCTCCCAGTCGAAATCTTATTCCAGTCAAATGTCAGCCATTACTGCTTCTCTTGACAGAGTATGTACACAATTTTTACAATAATTTCTTAATTACAATTATTATTTATTATTGCTTATTGTTTTGAATTTTTATTTTTAGGATGATGATTCACCCCCGTCCACAAATACATCTAGAGGAAAAGGTGGTGTCAAATTAGAAGATGAAGAAAACGAGGAAGAGAATGAAAGAGCAGGAACTGGAAAGACCATGCCTGGAAGTGTGAAAATAAAACAAGAGCCGATGGACGATGGAATTCAAGTGAAAGGTATTTTCATATCGTTTTATTGTACTGTGTCCATTTGTCAAAACACTCATCTGTTTCATTTCACATTAACAGAAGAAGTAGTGGTCAAAGAAGAAATACATTCACCCAAAACAAATGAATCAACTGTAGATCTTAAACAAATTGTGCCTGAGCCAATCCAAAATGCTGTAGGTGTGGACAAGAAGAAGAAATGTCGTAAGTATTAATTTAAAAAATAAAAATGACAAACATTGTGATTAATTAACATCTATGTTTTAGTTTTTAAACCAGACGAACTGCGACAAGCATTGATGCCTACACTAGAGAAACTATACAGACAAGATGAATCACTACCATTCAGGCAGCCTGTAGACCCATTAGCTCTTAATATACCTGACTATTTTGATATTATAAAGTCACCGATGGATCTTTCAACCGTTAAAAGAAAACTTGACACAGGTCTATATTCAGATCCTTGGGAGTATGTTAACGATGTTTGGCTTATGTTTGATAATGCCTGGATATACAATAAGAAAACATCCAAAGTTTATAAGCAATGTACAAAGGTATTTTCTATTATTTTTCATAAGACTTCATTTGTGTTTGTATTGATCATCGGTTAATTTGAACATTTTGTGGATTTTACAGCTTTCTGAAGTTTTTGAACAGGAGATAAAGCCAGTGATGCAAGCATTAGGATATTGTTGCGGTAGAAAATACACGTTCAACCATCAAGTCTTATGCTGTTTAGGAAAACAATTATGTACTATTCCTAGAGATGCCAAATATTACAGTTATCAAAATAGGTAAATTGCTATTTCATATCGCATTGCTCTTGATAATTTATTTATTTTAAATGGTTCTTTAAATAATTACATTTTGTTTTCTCTTTTAGATACTTTTATTGTCAGAAATGTTTTAACGATATTCCTGGCGATACTGTAACATTAGGAGATGATTTAACACAGCCTCAAAAGTAAGTTTGATTAATAAAAATATGTTGATATAAAGTTATAATAATAATTTTATTGATATAATTATTTGTTTTTAATTGCTAATAAATAATGTTATTTTAGTGTTATGAATAAAAATGAATTTAAAGAAATGAAGAATGACCATTTAGAGCAAGAGCCATTTGTCGAGTGCAATGAGTGTGGGAGGAAGTCTCATCAAATTTGTGTGCTCTACATGGAGAACATTTGGCCCCAAGGGTGAGAAAAAAAAGGTTTTAGGTTAAATTGTATTTTATGTTAATAAATTAATTTTTTTTTCTAGTTTCACTTGTGATCATTGTCTCAAGAAAAAATCAATGAAGAGGAAAGAAAATAAATTTAATGCCAAAAAATTACCAACGACTAAATTAGGAGCATATATAGAAGTTAGAGTAAATAATTTCCTCAAGAAAAAGGAAGCTGGGGCTGGTGAAGTTGCAATACGAGTTGTGGCCAGTTCTGAGAAAGTGGTCGAAGTCAAACCTGGGATGAGGAGCAGGTAAGTTGAAAGATGCTGCTGAATGTCATGTGGTAGGAAAGGGGGTGATGGTTGAGCCCTCATTACTTATGCACCCTTTCAAATGAGGTGCTAATAAGTTTTGAGGGCAAATGGAAAATATTGATTCTTTCATATAGCACAGCTACTTGTATTTTCAGAACAGAAAACCCTTCAACAATATAAAATTGATCACATTTACCAATAAATAACATGAAAACATGCTAGCACAAACCTAAACACAAACACAAAAATGGTTAGAATATAAACAATCAGCCTATGTGACATTCAAAAGATGGACAACAGACTCAAACTATCCGTACTTACATACTTGCGACCCTAAATAAATTTATGAAGGTCAATACCACAGACTGCTGAAAGTAAAATAATATAAAATGTCGCAAATAATGAAAATACACCTCACATATTAATTATTTAGTAAAATATTCATAAAAACTGCACTAAAAACAATAAAAACCTTTTGAACTCCTTAAGTTCAGTATAACTTGTCGAATCAGAATGAAAGCAAGATTGGTTCGAATGTTTGAACCAAGGGGAACTATACCGGCAAGATTCAAGTTGCTCTTTAATTTTAAATGGATGAAAAATGTACTACTCATAAACTTAGATGATATGCACATACAACTCACTGAACACAACTTACATGAGGTGTAATCAATTCATTAAATATAAGTACATAAACATACGTATTATAAAGCGAGCTGAACATGCTGATAACACCTAAAATAATACTTAAGTTCATCACATCATTGGGTGTGCCAACAATAAAAAGACCCAGGCTGTTCAGGGGCAAGTTTTACAATGTTTTGATAGACAAACTAATAACAAATAATTTTCAGGTTTGTCGAAAAAGGTGAAATGGCCGATCAATTCCCTTACCGAGCGAAAGCTATTTTTGCATTTGAAGAAATTGATGGGACTGATGTGTGTTTCTTTGGAATGCATGTGCAAGAATATGGATCGGAGTGTCCCGCACCAAATACACGGCGAGTCTATATAGCATACCTCGATTCTGTCCATTTCTTTAGGCCGAGACAGTTCAGGACTGCCGTATACCATGAAATTTTATTAGGTTATCTCGAATATGTTAAACAATTAGGGTATGGATCTTGAAAAATTGCAATTGTCAATTAATAGAAACTGTTTTGAAAATGATTTCATTTTAATTTTAAGGTATACAATGGCCCATATTTGGGCGTGTCCTCCTTCGGAAGGTGACGATTATATCTTCCATTGCCATCCTCAAGAACAAAGAATACCAAAGCCCAAACGCCTTCAAGAATGGTACAAAAGAATGTTGGACAAGGGGATTAGTCAAGCTGTAGTTCTTGATTATAAGGTTGGATATCTTGTTTTGCCCCATTAAATTGTTTGAGGAATTGCATGGCAAATAAAAATTACTTCTTTTTTTTTCTTTAGGATATTTTAAAACAAGCGATGGACGATAAATTAAGTTCAGCAGCAGAACTCCCATACTTTGAAGGAGATTATTGGCCCAATGTTCTTGAGCAGAGTATTCAGGAGCTAGATCAAGAAGAAGAAGAGAGGAGGAAACAAGCTGAAGCGGCCGAAGCAGCTGCAAGTGCTGTAAGCACAGTTAAATATTACTGACACATTAATTTTTAAACACTGTTAAATGGAAACATGTTGTTTTTAGATATTTTCCCTGGAAGAGGATAACGAAATAGGGCCTGATGGTAAGAAAAAAGGTCAAAAGAAAGCAAAAAAATCAAACAAATCTAAAGCAAACCAAAGGAAGTCAAATAGCAAAAAGTCGAACATGCCACAAACAGGAAGTGACCTTTCTGCAAAAATTTTCCTTACAATGGACAAACATCGTGAGGTATTTTTTGTAATTAAGCTGCATCCTGCCCAAAGAGTAGCCACTTTAAAGGTAAAAATAATAAAAAGTACTTAAGAAAATAAATTCAAATGGTAAGTTTAATAAATCCATTTTAAAATTTTAGAGCATTCAAGACCCCGATCCTTTTATAAATTGCGAACTCATGGATGGTCGTGATGCATTTTTGGCCATGGCAAAAGAAAGACATTACGAGTTCTCATCGTTGCGAAGAGCGAAGTTCTCAACAATGGCTATGCTTTATGAACTTCACAACCAAGGCCAAGATAAATTCGTTTACACTTGCAACAACTGTAAAGCTCATGTTGAAACTCGATACCATTGTTCTGTTTGTGATGTATGTATTTTTAAATCATCTAAACTAACATATAAACACATTTACTTATGTACGTTTTGATTGTTTTATCAGGATTTCGATCTTTGTGTTACGTGCTACGAAAAGGATGGGCATCCTCACAAAATGGAAAAACTTGGACTTGATATTGATGATGGCTCATCACCTGCAGAAAACAACAAAGCCAATCCTCAAGTGAGATTTATATATTGTTTAAAAAGTTAAAACATAAAATTTCATATAATTGAAATGTTAATTTTTTTATGTGTTTAATTTTCAGGAAGCGAGGAAGCACTCGATACAAAGGTGTATACATTCTCTTGTACATGCTTGCCAATGTAGAGATGCCAACTGCAGGCTACCTAGTTGCCAGAAGATGAAGAGAGTTGTCCAACACACAAAGATCTGCAAGAGAAAAGCCAATGGAAATTGTCCAATTTGCAAACAGCTCATTGCTCTCTGTTGTTATCATGCTAAATACTGTCAGGTAAAAACACTTTACTATATCCATTAAAAATAAAACAAACTTTAACTCAACTGCGATTTCAGGAAACCAAATGTCCAGTGCCTTTCTGTTTGAATATCAAACACAAAATGAAACAACAACAGTTGCAGCAGAGGCTTCAACAGGCCCAGCTGCTTAGGAGGAGAATGGCAGTCATGAACACAACAAGGACAGCAGCACCGTTGAGTGGAGCCGTTAGCCCATTAGGCAGTAGTGCCGCAGGCCAACTCATGCCCCCTCAGGCGCCACACTCCAACCTTGGTCATAAACCTACCCAGTCTCCATCTGCCAATGTCCTACAGGTTGTGAAACAGGTGAGTTCTCAGTTTAAAGCAAACTGTTTATATCCAAACTTAATTTTATACTTGTTTCATATTCTTACAAAATAAGTCCTTTCTAATGGCCATTAAATCAGTATTTATCTGGCTTTCGCTAATGGACGATATTAAAATAATCATAATCCACTTATTTCACATTATATCCTTTTATATAATGGCACAAATGTGGTTTGAAACATGTCCTCTTTGCTTTATCAGAAAACATACTATATAATAAATGTGTTTTCTTCCCTATTTGATTTCCCTTATCCATCTTTAGCTTAATTGTTTAAAGAAATTTATACTAGTTGTTTGCTATAATATGAATAATCGAATCCAGCTTCGTGACACTAACCTTTTTCATTTCAACCAAAACCTTATGTAAAAAGGTTAATTAATTGAAGGAAGTAATTTGGTAACTAAATATAATGGATTTATTATGAATAATGTTCACTTGTTAAAATTTATTTTTACACTTGGCCAAATTAGAATTTTAATCAAACCTATTCATTAGGTTTTTTAACATTTCTGGCAATTTGATTGTTTTTATGATATTACAACAGTTAGGTGATTACTATTTTGTCCTAAAGAGAAAAAATAAAAGAGAAACCACTATCCTCTCCACTGAGTATGGGGACCTGTTGGGTTCCCATCAGATATAACGCTTTCCGACATTCTCACAAGATAAATTGTTAAATGTAGATGAGCAATCTATCCTCACGATAAGGCTGCCTAAATAATTACATAAATAATAATTTAAAATAAATCTCTTATTATTTTCTAATATTTTTTGATTTTTTAATCTAATAGTTTTTGATATTGGAAAAAAAATGTTGACTAAAAAAATCAAAATCCATTGTACAATAATGGTTTTTTCTTCTGATGGAAATGCAGTTGTTCAGTGGTAGAATAAAAAATTGCTAAACAGTTTGTCAGTGATGATAAAAAAAATGCTGATTACTTATGATTTTACATTACAAATTGCATGTATTATCTGAGACTTAGACGTTAAAAACTGATGGTGTTTTCTTGCTTACTCATTGTATCTGAGACTTTACTATCTGTGAGTAGTTTCTTAAAAATTTATTGTTGGTTGTCTTTCGTATGTGATTTCTGAGTAAATTCCTGCCAAATTGCAGGGTAATAGTGTAAGTTATGATTTTTTGTCCTTTCTAATGGCCAGTGAATAGTGATCCACCGCAGATTGCGCCAGTCGGTGATGAGGCTCAGGTGTTGTTGGAGTGCTTCTGTTGCTAGTTTAGGATTGGAGTGTGTAGATAAGATTGCAGTGTCATCCACGTAGATTGTGAGTTGTGTGTATGTCAGCAGAGTAGATGGTTTAGGATTGGACCTAGGACACTTCATGATAGGTGAAAATATCTTTGATGGTCTTCTTCAATGTGTTAGTAGATAGCCACCACATAATAAGAAATAGCCGAGTGATACCATAATTTATTATTTGTCCTATCTAATGGCCAATAAATATTCAGTGTTTAACTGGTTTTCGCACTTGGACTAAATCAAAACCCAAATGTAATAATGGATTTTTCTGCTAATGGAAATAATATTGCTACTTTGGTACAACAGAAAATTTCTAAACCATTTGCCAATGATGATAACAAAATGCTGATTTACTTGTGATTTTACATTACAAATTGCATGTATTATCTGAGACTTAACAGCGAAAAACTGTTTGATATTGCTTTCTTAAAATATATCTTTGATCGTCTTTAATGTGTGATTACATAGTAGATAGCCGACCACATAAGAAATTGCAGAGTGAGAGCATAATTTATGATGTCTTTTCTAATGGCCAATAAATATGCAATGTTTAACTGGTTTTCACTCTTGGACTATATCAAAACCCAATGTGTAATAACAGCTTTTTGTACTGATAGAAATTAAATTATTACTTGGTACAACAGAAAATTTCTAAACCATTTGTCAATGATGATAACAAAATGCTGATTTACTTGTGATTTTACATTACAAATTGCATGTATTATCGGAGACTTAACGGTGAAAAAACTGTTGGATATTGCTTCCTTAAAGCGTATCTTGGTCGCTTTTAATGTGTGATACATAGTAGATAGCCACCACATAATAAGAAATAGCCGAGTGATAGCATAAGTTATTATTTGTCCTCTCTAATGGCCCTTAAATAGTCAGTGTTTAATTGGTTTTCGCTCTTGGACTAAATCAAAACCCAAATGTAATAATGGATTTTTCTGCTGATGGAAATGAATTGCTACTTGGTACAACAGAAAATTTCTAAACCATTATTGTCAATGATGATAACAAAATGCTGATTTACTTATATTATATTACAAATTGCATGTATTGCCTGAGAACAGTGAAAAAACTGTTCGATACTGCATTCTTAAAATATATCTTTGATCGTCTTTAATGTGTGATTACATAGTAGGTAGCCAACCACATAAGAAATTGCAGAGTGATAACATAATTTATGTCCTTTCTAATGGCCAGTAAATATGCAATGTTTAACTGGTTTTCGCTCTTGGACTAAATCAAAACCCAAATGTAATAATGGATTTTTCTGCTGATGGAAATGAAATTGCTACTTTTGTACAACAGAAAATGTCTAAACTATTTGCCAATGATGATCAAAAAATGCTGATGTACTTATGATTTTACATTACAGATTGCATGTATTATCTGAGACTTAACAGCAAAAAAACTGAACCTTGACTTAACAATGAAAAATTGTTTGATGCTGCTTCCTTAAAATGTAGCTTTGGTCGTTTTATTTTGTGAATTTTGAACAGATTCCCGCCAACTAATAAACTAAAGTGATAGCATGATTTATGATTTGTCTTTTCTAATGTTCATTCTAATGGGCATATTCAATGTTTAACTGCAAAACCCAGTATGTAATAGCTTTTTCTGCTGATGGAAATGAAATTGCCACTTTGGTACAACAAAAAATTTATAAACCGTTTGTCAATTATGATTAAAAAAATGTTAATTTACTTAGGTTTTTACTGAACGTCTGCGTGTACATATTGAGATTTTACTGTAAAAAAGCATGTATGTCATTTCTTACTAGATAGTAGATGTTAGATTGTCCTTGTGGTCTGCATGGTGATGAATCACCTATAGTTTTGTTATTAACGATCATTTTCCAAATCACCATTGATAGGCAGACCAGAATGGTGGTAAAACATCAGATACCTGTTAACATCATCAAAACAAACAAACTGTTTGTCAATGATGATAAAAAGTGCTGATCTACTTATGATTTTACCTTATATTCATGTATTTCCGAGACTTTACTTTTAAAAAATATCTGTGAACAGCTTCATTGTCACCTCTGACCTTGAGGTGAATTTAATTACCCCAGAAATTAGTCAGAGTACGTAGAGGGTGATCAGTAAACAAGGGAAATAAAAATAAACTATAATTATGAATCGACTTCTTTTCACCTTTTATTTAAAACATAAGTACACAAATCGAGTTAGTCCCCTTCAAGTCAGAACTTAGGACAAATATTTTAACGAACTTACAGACAGGGTTTTCAAATGATATGGTCACGGCAAGATCCAGTTGAACACTCCTGCCTCGGCTTGCTCGTTACCCCCCTCCTCACACTCTTATCTCTTATGTCCTGGATGAACCCGTGACATAAAAATTTATCATAGCTTATTTTAAGCAAGTAATTAATGAGTTGTTCTAGGATTGCAGGGTATAATATTTAGTTTTGAAAAGAATACCATTTCCTAAATTTTAATTTTAACTGGTAAACCACATTGACTGTTTCAAATTTGGTAAGATTTTATTTTCGTTTAAAATAAAAATTATTGATATTCAATTAAATACATCTTTAATTAGATTTCTATTTTTCATCCACATAATATTTTGAGAGAATTTGTTCGGATATTGTTTTAACAGTGATGGAAGCAAATAAGTAGAAAATGCAGTCTTTTATCACACCCTTGTAATATCTGTTGCTTTAGTAATTTGAAAATATCCTTGTTTGAATATTGTATTTAATATTCACAAGATTATACTCTAAATGGGTTAAAATCTTTGTATTGCTTTTGGTCTTAAACTAGATCAAAACCCAGGGTATAATAGCTTTCTTTAAATTGATCAATGTGGGGTATTTCTGTCATAACTTTTTGTTGTAAAGCTTGAACATTACCAAAGTAATTGTTGAATAATTAATTTATAAAGTTCCAATAATAATTTTATTATTACCTACCTTAAATATTCAAAATGTAACTTCTTTTTTTTACAATCTTATATAATTTTTTAATCTAGTATGGAATATTAAAATTATCCCATTTTAACATATTGTAGTGTTTGTGTGGTTTTGATTAAAAGATTTATGCAGTGCTATCAGTGATGACTTTAAACTCTGAAATTCGCTTTGATCTAAATTTAGCTGCATGTATTTTCTGAGTCTGCTCCAAGATATTATTAGCAAAATATTAAAGCTAAGATGTTTTATTCAAGAAAATATTTATCTTTTAGCTTGGTCGTTTCTGTTCAGATTGGTCTGTCAGATCCTTTTTGGTTTTTAATTAGGCACTAACTCCACCACAGATAGTGGTCAGTGGCAGAAACGAACAAGGTGCAGGTTCATCAGCCCACAGATCTCAACAGAAAATTTCATGAATATATTTCCCCCCCTCCCAATCATGTTGCTTATAAAAATTTCATTAAAAATTCATTAAAAGAAAAATTTCTTTGTGTTTGAGTTTAATGATTTTATAATTCAGTTAATGACAATTATGACTGCTTTCAACAAAAAAATATGATTGTTTGTAACATGCAAACATGTATTCCGTACAGTGTAGTCAAAAACAATCTTCTTTTTAAATAATTAAATCATAGAGTTGATTTTAATTAATGTACCAACTTTCACACTTCAATTTATCACTTCATGTATTCTGAATATTTCTATTATATTTCTTGGTCCAGTGGACCAAATTACTTCTTTCAATTAATTAACCTTTTTATGTAAGATTAATTGATTTTTATATTGGGAATTACACGAAATTTTTATTGTTTTATGCAAGGTTCAGGAAGAGGCACTCAGACAATCATCTACACCGCAAACTGCCCTTTCATACCCCACAGGAAAAGTGGCACCACCAGCTGTCCAACAAGTTATGCCTCCTCCACAAAGGACAATACCGCAAAGTCAAGTGCCTCAGTTAATATCTATGGAGCAGTGGCAACCAAGGTAATGCACAGATTTTATATGATCTATAAGTTTTTAAAATAAAAAAAGTTATATGAAGTATGATGTTTTAAGTTATTTTTAAGATTTTGTAAATTAGTTAGTGATGATTATGACTGTTGATTTTCAATAAAAAATATGAAATTTTCTAACATGTTTTCTGTTAACATGTTCTGAGGAAAATGCAGGGAAAAACAATTAATCATCTTTTTTATTGTTTTAGATATCCACCATTACAAACACCGGTTCAAGGGCAGATAAGACAAACAGGGCCAATGTTAGTTAACCAACAGGTGAACCAAACAGTAACACAGCCTACATCAACGCCTCAGATAGGACCCCAACCGGTAGTTTCTATGAATCTTGGAGTGCCAAATATGAGACAGGCGGCACCACAACAGCAGAACCCAGCAGTGCAGAAACAAGCTCTACAACAGCTCTTGCAGACACTAAGATCACCCACAACACCAGAACAACAACAGCAAATTCTACATATCCTAAAAACCAACCCCCAACTCATGGCCGCTTTCATTAAGCAAAGACAGGTATATAAATGTTATTTAAGAAGAATTATTAAAACTTGTTAAATAATTATCTTTAATCACGTAGCTTTCGTTAAATATGTTTTAAGCAATAGATTTCCCATATTAATTTGGTAACATTCCACAGCAACAACAGCAGCAACAACAACAGCAAAACCAGCAGGCAGGTGCTCAGCAAGCACAGCCAACAGGACAGCAACAACAGCAGCAGCAGCAGATGCAACAGCATCTACTGCAGCAAAATAGAATGCATATGCAAATGTTAAGCCAACAACAACAGCAGCAACAGCAACAGCAGCCATCTAACCAAGCAGCAGGACAACCACAGCAAAGCTGGTTCAAACATCAACAGATGATGGTCCTCCAACAAAGGCAGCAGCAGCAACAACAACAACAGCAACAATTTACTCCTGGTGAGTAACTCAGATATCACTAATTTATAATATAATGAGTAAGTATTTCACAAAACTTAATATAAATAGATTTTGTTAAAATTTAAGTAATTAAATGTATAATTAAAATTCTTTGCAGATTAGAAATTATTTTAATTTTAGTTGTTTTGTTAGCTAGAAAGAAATGAATATTCAATACATCTGTGTAAAAGAAAGCTTACTAGTTACAATTGCATAACTTTTAGGATACCAGAGCCAGCAGCAAAGAATGCCTGGAGTGAGATCCTACCAGGGATTTGGTGAAGGTAACCAATATCCAGTGAAACCTTCACCGGGTGTTGCTTCTCCACAGGGAAGTGTAATGGGGCCACCAATGGTGCAGAGCCAGTCAGGGCAGCCTGGTCCTCAACAACCTCAGATGATGAGGTCACCACCTCCGATAAGATCACCACAGCCGAATCCCTCACCAAGGCCGGTGCCTTCGCCGAGAACACAGCCCGTTCCTTCTCCAACAGATATGATGCTTTCCCAGTTGGGACCGAATATGCATCACCAGTCTCCTGCACCTTCGCAGCAGGACCCTAATGATCTCACTCCTCAAGACCAGCTGTCAAAGTTTGTTGAACAGTTGTAGTATATATAGTTATTTAGCGCTTGTACTTAAGGAAAAACTCGTACCGTACCGGTGGTTTATTTTTTACTATTTTGTTTATTTACATCGAAATCCTTCTTTGTCTCTTGAAAGCTGGTCCAACTTGTTAAATATTTGAAGTGCTGTGCTCGCTCACTCTCTATTATAAAGTGCAAAGTGGACTTACATGTGTACTTTTATTGAAAAGAAAAATAATGTGAAAAATGTCTTAAAACATTTCTAACTGAAGGAATGTTTATTTATGTAGGTTTTATTAACATCTGTAAATTTTGTTGATAGTATAAATAGTTCATTGTACATAGAGGCTTCCCCACAAATAAGAGATACCATTTCATATAAACATTTTTAAAAAAATGATACGGTATTTTCAAAACATTGTTACTATCAAATTTTTATATATTATAATCAAGTGATAGATTTATTTAAAACATTTTTTATTATTAATCAATATTATAAAAACTATTTAAATAAGAATATATAAGAAAAAGTAAAACACAGTGCAGTGTTGTACATATAAACACTTAGTAAAGATTGACTGTTATGTATATAATTTAATAATGGGAAGAGAAACAAAATGAGTTATGAAAGTTTAAATACTTAATTTGAAATTAAATGAACGCATATTATATTATCGATTTTTGTTTGATGCAAAATATGTAAATAATATACATATGAAAGAAACTACCCCTGATTTTAAAAGAAGAGGTTGTAGTGAGCCATTTTGAATAAGATTATTACAATCTAGTATTTCGGCTTTTTTAAGGCTGTGTTGTAAAGAAAATATGAGTGCGTGTGTGTGAGTTTTAGAAATTTTCATAACAAAATTATAAAAAATATAAAAAAATATATATATTTAAATTTTCTTTTTTATTGTATATATATACATATAATAAAAATTGCCGAGTGGACTTTTATTAATTTAATGGCTAAATTTGTTTCATAAATAAAGGTACACACCAATTTACATTTAATTTTTTTTTAATTAAGGCATAGGGTAGGTGAATAAGGAGCCTTCGATCTCTTTCAAAACCTTTTTTGTTCATAGCTTTCAGATTGGACATTAAAAGAGGCGCTGTTATTTTTTTATATACATATATATATATAAATATATTTATTGTATGTATAAACAACTTCTTTAATCCTGTGTGCTTTTTTTACTTTTTTTTGTACAGTATGTGTTTCTTTTTTTAGGCAGTGTTGATATCGGCTACTGATTTGTGAAATTCATAGTATGATGAATACATTCACATCTGCACATAATGTATTATAATAGATACTGAAATTAAATTACATAAATATTATGTGCGGTCAGTCTGTAACCCCTATCATATCAGCCTTTATTTTCATTTTAACTTAAATGCTTATCTATCAATTTATTGAAACATAAAACAACAAACTATGCAATTTATTAAATAAAATAAATTTTTAAAAAAAGTCGGACCTTAAGTATTGTGACAAAATTGATTTTTCCAATTAAGGTTTTGTAAATTTTAGAATTTTATATTTGTCTGCAACATCACCAAATTATTTGGAATTTGAATTTATTCATAACAATAGACATTCCACAAAATGTTACGACTTAATTTTTGTTTTGAAACATATATAATGTAGAACATCAGGACCACATTTTCAAATTCCATTTTGTTTTAAATAATTTGCGACAATAAAGTTCCTATTCTTCCTCATGTCTTAGGATTTAAACAATCTAAATTTAACCGATTTTCTCATGATTTTATTTAACAGGGCCACTACAAAGTCGTTTAGGCATTCAGCATTACTTAATGAAGTTGTTTAGTCTTACATATAATTAGTAATGTAGATAACACATTTTATACAAAAAAATTGTACGTACTCACTGTACCTGCCTGAGCTAAATTATTGACATAACTTTATTGTCGCTATTTTGTACATGTCAAATGATTAAACTTTTTTTAAGTTCTAATTATAGAAATGAGAAAAACTTAGATTTTGAAAATATTTTAAGTGACAGTGGGGCAAGCTTCCTCAATTGTAATTTGTACAAAGCAGATTTACAAAAAAATATATATATAATTGTTTTAAAAGAAAATGTCAATTAACTTTCACTTTTGAAAGCACATTTACTCAGCACATTCTTTCAAAATGTTAACAAAAATTCTCCCAATGAAATTTCTCCACTAGCTATATTAATTAAAAAAATATTGCATATCTTGGTAGGATGGATAATATAAAGGTGATAACGGTTGTGTACTTTTCTTAACTGTTTAAGTTTAAATATGATAATTTTTTTATGACAACTCTAGGTTATATTCAATTATTCATAATTTGTTTGTTCATTTTTTTTATTATATTTCGTTTATTCAAAGAAAATAATTTATCAAATTACATTATGTTGAAATGTGTTCCTAATAAGAATAATAAAATATAAAAATTTAAAAAAAAAATAAAAACATTGTTATTAAAAATTTCAGTTGAAAACGAATTTGTGTGATATTGCTTTTCAGTATTATTGAAATACCAAAAGAAGGTGATGTTTAAATTCGTGGACGTAAGCTCAATTTGTAAATACGTTTGTACAGTTGAAAAAAATATTTGAAAAAGAAAAAAAAACAAAAATTGAGATAAAGCAATCTTAAATACTTAAGTATATTGTAAATATAAAGTAGGTATATTTATTTCATTCTGTGAATTGTTTTAAGGACAATTGGTACACATCATTATTGTCTTATGTATAAAGGTAAGAGTAGTTTTCATAAAAATAAATATTTAAAAAAATGTAAAAAGTATATTGATTGATAAAATTCAAGTTCTTTTTATTCATAATTTGTTGACCTTTCTTGAACTTTGACAAAGGGAATGTACACAGCATGGGTCAACAATAATCCACTTGGCATTTCTCTTAAAAAATAATGATTTTGACTTTTTTAGGGTGTTTTAAGGGTAAGCTCACTTGATAGTCAAGTCATATAATTTTAGACTGTTTTTGAAGAAAAGAAAAAAATGTGCAGTCGCATTTAGACAACAAAAAAAGTTGCAGCTTTAAAGAAAAGATTCATAATAGATGTGACCCACCTAGTTTGAAAGAAATTGGAGTCAAGTTGAATTCTGTTATATGAACGCGTTATTCATTCATTCCTATGCTCAGCATCATCTAAGGCAACAGCATGTTCTCACAGTTCAACTTTAGTCAGTCAACTAAAGTATAACAAAATCTGTCGTTAGAACTGTCAGTTCAAGAGTTGATCAACTTTTCAGTTGACTAATCCAGTCGAACTTTTTGTCATTCAAGTCATGAGTTAAGTTGAAACATGGAAACATTTCAGTTGGCTGTTTCCTCTTCAACTTTTTCACTGTTCTTTGTTTATAAATTAGATTAAAAAAAATAAACCTCAAGTGGATTTGAAGTTTAATGCTAAAATTTTATAAGCCTTTGGAATCACTGACTTGTATTGTATTTTTATATATGACCAAGAGACCCGTCCTGCATAATTAGGTGTTGTCACTCAGACAGGGGGTAATTCAGTAGCGCCACACAGATACTAGGAGACCTTCCATGTTAGTCTTTAAGAATTACAGTCTCTCAGTTTCATTCATATCATTGGCATGCGCAATGAATGAACTTAAATGTTAATTTAAAATTTGTGGCAGAAGTGGAGAAATTTCCGGCACTGTACAATTAGGATAGGCCCACAATTATCTCACTTTTCTGATTCTGTACCGGTAATAATAATACTGGATAATGATTTCACTTATAAATAGCTGTATATGTATTATGTTGGGAGTTGAGTCCACTATGAAACAACTTGGCAATAGGGGATACTCGTGTAATGTTTGTATGAAGGTGAAGGGATACCCAATTCGTCTAGAGAGAAAATGCTTAGACTGTTGTCACAAAGGTTGCCAACAGTGGTAATTAATTAACCCCATGGCCTAATAATAACAATGATTTGATGAGTATAAAAACAAAGAGACTTTTTGTAAATGATGGTTCTACTCTCAGAATTAATAATACATCTATTATTTCCATAAAAATAAAGATGTGAAAGAAAATGTGTTGAGTCCACAGTTTGTTGAGTAAGGAAAAGATATGGAAATTGCCAGACTTACTGCTCAATTGTAGAATAAAATTAAGAGATTATAAGAAGAATTTGATGGTTTCTAAACCAAAAATGTGATCAGTTTCTATTGAAAAAAAAATACTGATTCAAGTAGTCACAATCAACTTTAGTTGATCAGCAAAAGTTGAATCATCAAAACGAGCCTTTAACAACCAAGAAGTTGAAAAAGATTTGGATGGTACAAATATGCTTAAACAGAAAATTTGTTTCATTCTAGTGTACATGTTACATACTTTTAGAAGTAATTCTAATCAAATTAGAAACAAAGGAGTAGAATTCAATTGAATCTACATAGATGCAGACAGTGGCGGAGAAACAGCCTTCCTGCCTTGAAATTTTGAAGAAGTTTTACTAATAAAAACACTAATATTATTGTCTATAAGAAAATAAAATATGATTTTCAAATGGAAAAGCTTTATGAAGAATATAAATGATATTAAATTCACTGATTTCATGGTCTGCTTGACCAATTAATATATTACAATTAATTAAGGTTTTTAGTTGAGATTAAAAAAGTCAATGGCACGAGCGGGATACGAACCCACGATCTTCGGCTAGATACGCCGCTGCTCTACCACTTGAGCTATCGTGACCTCGATCCACTCGGACACTAATTTCCCATCTCAACCCCACCTTTTGAATTCTAAACCTTTTCAATTTGAATTTGAATAAATTATATTGAGTGTTAGATGACATTAAATCAAGACTATTTATTACAAAGGACCATGCAAAAATTAATTTTTAAATTTGGAGAATGTCTAAACAACTTTGCAAAAAACTTGCCCCTAAAATGTTCTAGTTGGAATGGGCTTTAAAAGGGTATGACATCTTAAATATTATTAAAATCTGTTAAAACAAAAATTTAAATATTTAATGAACAGATTAATTTATTTGTTTTATGATAAATGCCAATACTATATTGGAATCTTTTCGATCTTAGATCTATACTATCTTAATTTAGATTAATGTTGGGTTTTTTAGATTTAAGATTAAACTTGGCAACCATATACCACTTTGCAAAGACCTTGCCCATAAAACTTGTTAAAGCAATGTGCATTCATATAATTTTAATTAGTTGGGAAGTTTATTTGTTTAAATAATCAATGTCATGATGTTTAAAGGCAAAGTTTGAACATGTTAAATTATTTCAAAGCAGGAGTGAACGAAGGTTGACCTACAAGGCTTAGAAATGATAATAGACTTATGAATTATGAATTAAGAAAGAACAAGACAGGAAAGGAAAATGAAGCAATGCATAAACTGTCCTTAAAAAAGGAAAAAAATTAATAAATCCTGGTTCATAAATTGAGAAATGCTCAAGTAAAAAACTATAATTGATTTAATTGTTTTTTAGAAATTAATTTTTTTGAATTTTTCAATAAATTGTTTTTTATTTATTTTTAGTATTTTTGAACAAAGTACAAAAATTCAATCTAGCTTCTCTTAATTACATCTTGTCTAAAATAATAAAATAGTATGCTTAACATGAGCCATATTATATTTATGCACACACTTCAAGTGTTGATAAATAAGGAATAAAACAATTTTCAATTGATATATGTGTAATTTTGTTTCAGCTTTTGCTGTATAACAAAAGTATTGTTTTTTTATTTATCACATAATGTATAATTTGTTTTTTTATTAATTCTTCACTTGTGGAGATTCTTTTTGAAACTTCCTATAAGCAATGAAACTTGCCACAGTATCGATCGAACATTTGTGCTATTTATTCCAAGAATTTGAGCACATTCCAGTGTAAAATATTCTACATCTTCTATTTCAGCTTCAACCTGAAATATTTATTATTGGAGTTAGATTTTTATACAATGATAACTATCAGTGGGGGGCGTCGGTGGCCGCAACAATTTAGGTACTGTCATGGTGCTCATCACTGTAAGGTAAAGGTCCCAGGGTCAAATGCAACAGTCTGCTAAATTTGAACCTGACATACTTACAAATGGACTTTTTTTTCTAAAACACCGACACCCCAAGGGGTCTCTGCTGTGCAAATCCTCATACAAAAATAAAAAATAAATTTAAAAAAATTAGTGCCATCACCTGTGGCCTTCTTTCACCAACTGTCCTTTCAGCGTTTTTTAATGATGTTGAGAGTATTTTGTTTGCCGTTTGCGATAGACGAGACACTTCTGAGTAAAACTCTTCCTGCAAGTCGTACAATTCAAGAGCAGGTGGGCCCAGGTCTAAAAATCGTGGTGGGAACACCTAAACGAGAAATTTGTATTATCTATTTTTTGTGTAATTATTTTTAAAATATGATTCTTACTGCAGGCTCTAATTTTGGTACAGATTCTTCAAAAGAGGGAACTGCTAGTTTAAGATTGCTGTGAGGCACATCTAGCTCGTTGTAAGCATTGATTACACTTGCAACGTGATCAAGCGAAACCCAATAGAAAGAATCAGTGTTAAACAAATTCATATAATCTGATGGGAGATCTTCTGTGGTTTCAATTAGGCAACCTCGGATTTTTTCAGATATGGCACAAGTATCTGCTACCACGGTGTATTCTGATACCTGCAAATAAGGTCTAAATTGTAAAAGTATTATTTAAAAAGACTTTTAAATTTATTATGATTTTGATATTAAAAACAGATATATTTATTATTGGTGTGATTTATGGAATATAAAAGTAGTAACAGAAACCTCAGGGTCCTCAGTGTCAATTGGATTCAACTCAAGATTTTCAGTCGTCAAATATGTCGTTATAACATTTAACAATTGACTGTTGTCCTCTTTTTCCAAGTATTTGTCAGCAAATACATAGCCAGAACCTAGAACGCAAATCTTTCCTCCTAAGAAAAAATCAAACAAAAACGTTATAAGCAAATGTGCATTCCATATAATTTCATACTTTACCAGTTTTAACTTTAGAAGTGGTCGATAATGATGCAAGGGCACAAACAGGCCTGTTCAAAGGCCATGATGCTGGGCCTGATGAGAGTATTGGTACTGCAGGTTTTGCTGTATTCAATGTCGCACCATAAGGGTATACAAAACTAAGACACCTTTAAAATTAAATATATTTATTGTCAAAGTCTCATTTTCAGAAAAGTGTCCTAAGATTATAATAAATTGAAATTGATTATAAATAATTTTCTTCAATCTACTCAGGCAGTAGTTTCAATCTACACATCATTTCTGCAAAGTTCTGCACTTCATGAACATTATGTAACTAGCTAAAAAGAAAAACTATTGGCATACTTACTGTACAAAATCTTTATTGACTTCTTTCCCAAGAAGTTTAGCAATTCCTCTGTTTAATACTCCATTAGGAATGAGACATTCTTTAGGATGAAAATATTTATAATAATGTGTCCTGACGACAGAATCTAAAATTCACAATCAACGTGTGTAGATATATAATTTTGTAAAAATAATTTTCTATATACCACTATTAATCATAATTCCATATTCTTCAAGTAAGTAGTTGATGTTGGTTTCGAATTTCTTTTCACCACCTTCTCCTAGGGTTACTAAAACCGAGCCACCACCGTCCAGATAGCCTTTGAGTGTGTTGAACTCGTTCTCCGTGAAATTTTCCCTTGGGCTTGGTATGATAAACACCGCTGCATATTTAAGGACTTCTGGGGTTATCTCGTCTTTGTTACTGCACACAGAAGCAAACAGTTTGTAGTTGGAAACTTATATAACTTGATAAATGCAGACACGTACACTTCAACTTTCCAGTTCACCTTTATCTTCCTGTGTAGTCCTTTGTAGTTGTCATTAATTTTAAACAGCTCATTTTTCGACTGGTCAAACACAATGCTTTTCTCATAGTTATCTTGTAAAGGCGGCCCCTGGAATAGTTATCCGTGTAAAAAATAGACAATCTATCATTGTTGTTACGAGGATATTTGTAAAATGATTATTTACTTCAATTGGAGGCATGTTGAATTATATTAGACAATAAAAGAAATAGATTGTTTGAAACTGAAGGCTACAAGAGTCGCTATGGCAACTGCATAAAAACATACATTCCACTGCATCTATGAAGCAATAGAGCAATTTGAGGAAATTAGATATGTGATGAAATATTAATATTTCATTTCTAGCACATTTATTAAAATTTAACAACTTAAGGTAAATTTAAAACTTAATATTAGCTATTAACTGCAAAACATTGCATAAAACTTGTCAGAATCTATTAAGAACCAAAAATATAAAAATACTTAAGAAAGTAATTGCATATTACATAAAATTTATTTATAAACATAGTTAGCACAAAAAAGTAGTTCTTTCTGCAATTGCACATTCATTTTATAACACTTACAACCATAGTGATCAGATATTTATCCGAATCCGACCTCGGTAGTACAATGGTTCAACTTTTATTGTGCATATTTGTGTCAATTTGAAACAATTTTGATTACTGAAGAAAAAGGAATATAAATTAAGCAATTAGAACCTGAGATGAAAAACACAAGGGCCTAAAATTTTATTCGGATTTCAATTAACTTGCCAAGAAGAAAGAACTAAACAATCTGATACAATTGAATTCTCATGAAATATCTGACCTAAATACATTAAAATTTAAGTGTGGTGCATATATTTTGCCCATCAGTGTATTACAAGAGAAATTAAAAAACATCCCAGACAAAAACACCGGATTGACAGATTTGGGGAAAATTAATGAAATCATGAATGAAAAAAAAAAAGTTGTTATACAGGAAACTGGTGATCCAGATATGTATTTTAAGTTCATATATGCTCCCTTTGATGTTAATTCTTTTCGAAGTACAAATATTTGTTGAGCAGTAAACAGTCCATTTTACAGAAACTAACTTTGAAATGTATGAACTGTTTCTTAAGATCATCAACTTATTTAGGATAATTATTTGTTTTGTACATTCTAAGTTATATGATTTTTTTGTGTGACTAAGATTTTTCTATCCTATTTTGTACATTCATGGCATAATTTACCCTGAACTATATGCTTTACCTAGAGACTTCAGTTGTTTTGATTTTGTTTATACTCTGAAGATTCATTTTCATTTATTAGAAAATTTCTTTCTCACTGTTTACCTTGTCTTTCTTTCCCTCTTTCTTTTGTCTGTTATTTATATGCATTATATATGTTTTATATATATATATATATATATATATATATATAAAAGTCATCGGTTTTCAACCATGTTTTTGCAATGTGTGCAATATCTACTTCCCACTAATGGATGTAACAATTTTTACTAAGCTAGTATTGATGATTGCACAATGCCGAAACAAGTTTGAAAAACACTTGAAAAACCAACGAATGGAGAAAAACCCAGTGAGTGTCCCTGTGCCAATACAGCATGAATTTTCACTAGTTATTGTAAAAAGAAAAGTATAGATTTTTTATCTATCTATTTGATCTATCTACCTATCCTATTTCCTCTCAAAATGAATATGTACCAGACTAAAAAGGTAATACATGTCTAGGTAAAAAAAAATTTGTTGGGTGATATCTCTGACATTCATGCTGTATATTTTAATATTTTTACTGCAAATTATATTACATATTTGAGGGTTTTTTAGTGCATATAATATTACATATTTAAAGTATTATTAGTGCATATAATATTGCATATGTAAGGTATTATTAATGCATATTATATGGCTTATTTAAATATTTTCAGTTTTATTTTATTTTCAGGATAATATAAAAAGGGCATTCCGATATTAATAATAATAAATACATATATATATATTATACATTAATGTGGAGGAAACTCGGTGCGCCGGGTCGGCAGAGAAGCTCTCATGTATCAAGAGTACTGTCAATAGGCAGCCCTTGGAGGATCTGACTCATAGAATAAGGGTCATCCTCATCTGATTATGGATAGGCTGTACAAGGTTGACACACTGACACTTCCTTTTGGGCCAAAGCTTGCGTTTTTTCTGGCATATAGAGAAAAGTTGTTTGATATGTCCCACCTAATTGAAGGGTGAAAGTCTTTCACTCTGTATAGGGAGTGAGTAGGAATGCATCCCTCATCCACTATGAGGATCTTGCTTGATTATGGCAGTGTGACCTGGGTCCTCTGCTCCAAATATTAGAGGAAACGGCTTTTTTTACAATATATAGTACAGATAGTTTTGGATCCCTAGCATTCGTTGGGAGCAAATGTACTTATTGGCATGACTGTGTAGTGTAAGAGGGCTGATGGCAGAATATTGAGTACCCCCATAGACTCTCCATTAGGTTAGTTACATAGGTGTAAAGGATTATGGAAGAATATCAAGAGCTCATATCTTAATTGAATGAATAGGAAAAAATGTTTTTAAATAAGAATGAGAGTGTGAATAGGTTTGGATTTAGGAACTGCATGTGTTGGGTGCTGAAAAGACCTCTAGCTGTTGACAGTTCCCAGAGCCCCCAACCTTGGTTCCCAACCAGACTGCCAACACCTGGGGGTGGATGATTATCAAGACCTGCCTGTAATTTACTCTAAATTACACAAAAGCTGAAATTGCCAGTGGGACTGCAAGAAGTGATATGCTCAACTCTGTACATATGTGTATGTATATACATGTGTAGATTTGAGCTTATATAAATCAAATATACAGGAAACAGTTATAATTATCCTTTTTATATTGTTTATTCGTTTTTATATTCTTAATGTTTCGAATTCCGTATCATTTACTGACAATTTACTGAAAATAAAAAGGCTAATTTGTTATTTACCGTACATGTAACATATCAAGTCTTTTTATTTATAAAAAAAAAAAACATTCTTGCCAACGTTTGAAATTACAAATCAAACAAATTTAATGCAATGTAATTATAATTTAAAACTGAATGAATTAAATCCTTTGGGTTTTAGGTTAATTAACATTCACAAATCAGGGTTTTTTTATATTATAGCTTGGAGAATAATCTATCTATTGGGATCTAGATCAATAATAAATCCAAACTTAAATTATATCATCGGTTCGTCTTGTAAATGACTATTTTTTCCTGTTTATTTTATAAACTTTACTGATGAATTTAATGGTTACGCCACCATAAATTTGAGTTCCGTCTGCGTCTAACTCGATTAATCGATAAACGTAACACGTTGAAGTTCCCTTCCCCACTAACGAAATACTGGAACTTTCACTACTACCTTATGGTTGTACCATAATTTTTGTTTTTCTCATTTCTTTTTACCAGGAACAGGACGTCGTGGGTCGAAATCAAGACCTTATTTCGAACCAGGAGTCATTCTACTGTCCACTAAATTGAATACGATGGCCTCTGAGTAAGATCCAAACCATTCTATTGACGTTAAATGTTTTTATGGTTTTGTAAATATTATTTTTTCTCCAGCGCAAAAGTTACGTTTAAAATCACACTGACATCGGACCCGAAACTTCCGTTCAAAGTGTGAGTATATAAGCAAAATTCCTATATATTCATTTAATACTTATATTGAATAATGGTGTTTTTTTCAAAAAATATCAACATATTTGTGCTTTTATTGAAAGAAATATAATTTATTCATACTGTCATTTTACAAGCTAGCACTTACTCAAAACTTGAACCTAAAGAGATCACTTTTTCCAAATTAGTTTTGTTTTGATTTGCATATAAAAGATACATTTCAGTTGATATTGATTGATTTGAAATGCTGTGTATATTCGAACAAGTGGTTCATGAGATTGATAAATTATATTTGGCATTAGAACAATGTAGAGTCATACTTCAAGATTTTTGCGTTTCTTGCTTTCTTTTGAATTTCTCTTAAAAACTTAAAAATAAAAAAACTCATTATCTCTATTATAAAAATGGCTTTGATAGTGGGTACTCCCTCGACTTAAGGGTTTGAATTTGAATCGGTGGAAGAGGCAGCTGCTTGTCTGACAAGAACAACGGGTTTTCTTTGGCTTTTCAATTCGGAACCATCTGATGATTATCAATTTCACATCTGACATCATAATTGTGCATCCTTCAATTTGTGAAAAACTATACTGAATGCTGCTCCTAAAAGGAGGTATATCAAATCTTTCTTGATGGAGGACATTTTTCGCATTTCAATTTATTTTTAATAATTAGGTGGAACCAGATTTGTTTTAAAGTTGTTTTAATTTAATAAATTGCTCTGTCCTCCCTATAGCCATGCTAGTTGGGTATTCTCATCAGGATGGTTGTGTTTTAATTTTATTTAAGATTTGATCTTGCACCCAGAAATCTTCTACTATAAATCAAACATTTCTTATTCAAATCCTTTTTTTTTTATTATTGGATACACAGAGATTTGACCAATTCATGGACATCAATCTATATGTATGATACTGTAATTTTGTCTCCTAACTTGAATTCTACACAAAGGACCTTCAACGTCTAAGAACGTGCTGGTTCTAACTTATCAAATGGTGCACAAAGTGGAAAATAAAACTGACATAAAACAGACCCTCGCTGTACATCAACAATTGTGTCAATTTAAGAAAGGTACCTCCATTATATCTAAAGAAAAGAAGCCTCAGTATAATAAAAAATTAGTAATTAATAAAACTGCTTCAACCACTCTAGATATGCAGAGTAGAGCTGTTGGGTTATTCAAGTCTCCATTATCCAGCACATTCCAATCAAAAGTCCTAATCGAATTTGTAGTATCTATCACTTTGTATTGGCTATGAATAAATAATTTTAAAATTTTTAAGTCTTCTGAGATTATTCTTAATCTTTTAAGTGAGACAGGTTACACTCAGTATTTTCTCCATACTAGCTGTAGGATGAGTTGCCAGTGTCTGTAGTTGTTTACGTTCTTTTGGTTTGATGCTTTGTTTAGTTTGTCTGTTGGCACCATAGGTGAAATCTGTATATTTAGGGCAGGATTTTGAATGACAAAACTAGATTTTACTTACGATCCTTCTGTAAAACTTTAAGGTGTGAGGATGTTTTTTGGTCTGCTTATATGCTCTCTGAATGTAACATTTTCATTTACCAATTCAATGGTCGTATCAAAAAACCAGATTTGCTTCATGTAGGCAATTATAATTTTAACTTCTAATGTGTTGATTTTGAAAATTAGTGTTTACAATAAAAAAAATAATTGCAATGTACGGTTTCAGGTGATATTTAAGGATCTCAGTTGTGAAGAATGGGAAAGAAACATGGATTTATAAAGCCGATTTTGTTGGATACTATTGTTGAATAGGCAGAAAATGGTAGTGTTTAAATGTCTTCAAATTCAGAGGCATTGGTCGAAGATATTTTCGAATTTATAAAGTCAATAATCGTTTTTATACAGTTGGCGTCAGTTGAGAGTTTGAGAGCAGATGAGATAGATACACTTTTCAATCAGGGGTTTTATGTTGAGACAATTTATACACGTTTTAAACTCCAAGGTCAGGTGGAGCATTTTAATGAGTCAATTTCCAACTATTTCTCATTAAATAACATCACATTACCACTGCACATTAACTTGGAAATCTTATGCGACTTCATTTTAGCCAAATTTTTGATACCATCAGTTCCTAATGATTTAACGAGAAGTGCCATTCGAACATATTTAAAACTCTGCAGTAAAGAAAGGTTTAATCAAGCTATTCAACACCTTTCTGAATTGAGACCTTTATTTTTGTCAGTCTCGAGCTTGTATCATCGGTCATTTAAAGATGTTGATATTGAGAGTGCAATTTTTATAAAATCATGGACAAAAATTATTGAATATCGTTCAGAAGGCAGAAAAGAAGTTGAGTCGATAATGACTCAAATGATCAAAGAACTTCAATGTTCAGAAACAATTTTATGCATTTTGTCGAAGAGCAATGCCATCATTCAAGAGTCTTTAATCAAACAATTAAATTCAGTGTTTGATCATGAAAATGAACTGCCTATTTGGGGTAATTTGATTTTTTCAGATCAACTAGTTAATGCTTGCAAAGCTTATCCAGAAAGTACAATTGTCGTTTTTAAAATATTAGGATTTTTTAGTTTAAATCAAACCAGGAATACAAATTCTGCCCAATCTAAAACTCACATTTATGAAATCGTAAAAGAGTTATATGCAATTAAAAACCTCAAGTGTCTAGTTTTAGAACAAATTATGCGTAACGTTAATAAATTTGATTCAGAATTTTGGTCCTTCGTTTATAAAAAAGTTAGATCTGATAGCTGAAGTTTTTTTAAATAATGTATATTTATTTCTTTGCTTGTACACTATGTGAATATATTTTTTTACATGAAGAATTTTGTTTAATTCTAGACCATTTTTTATTAGTAATAAAAATATAGTCCTAATTTATTTATCCCATTGAATTATTAAATGCTAAGTTGATTGAGAAATTTTATTCAAAAGATCTTTATCTTTATTTATTATGGATAATTTCCTCAAGATAATATTTTATTGGTTTAATAGCATTAAATACAAACAATATTCGTTGTATATACAATTTCAAAACATTATTATTTTTGATTGTTTGGAAATAGTGAGATGCAGTCTGGTATGACATAGGTTCAGAAAAACATTTTCTTTATCGTGCCAACGTTTCGATCTTTAGATCAATAAAGATCGAAACGTTGGCATGACAAAGAAAATGTTTTTCTGAACCTACGTCACACCAGACCACATCTTACAACCTCTAAATAATCATTAACTAACGGTTACTATACACCCCACATTATTTTTTCATAAATTAATATGTACTAATAAAAATAGTTATAAAGTTAAAAAGATTGTTCCCTTTACAAACTTTCTGTATTCAATACATTCAGAGGCTTTTCCAAATGCCAGCTGTTTAATGTAAATGTAATCTTGCAAATAAAAACAAAATTTATCCATAAAATTACAATTGGACAATTTTATGGCAGTGTGTTAACGATTGAAGCTAGGCAGTCCCAGGTATAAAGGAAAGCATTTGTATCAGTAGATCATTGCCATTTGTATTTCAATGGGAATTTTAATTGGTTTTAGACTAAGCGTACCTGAAAATACTCCTTTCACGGCTGTCGTTAAGTTTGCAGCTGAGGAGTTCAATGTACCACCATCAACATCGGCTATAATTACCAATGAGGGAATTGGAATCAATCCTTCTCAAAATGCAGGTAAAAACCTTTTTCTGAATACCGTCCAATATGTTTATTATGTATGTAATTGAAACTATTTTTGTTTTTAGGTTCGATATTTATGAAGCACGGCTCAGAACTCAGGTTAATACCAAGGGATAAAGTTGGATTTAGTTGTTAAAATTTTTTACTGTTATTTTGTTAAATTGCATTTTTTTTCTTAAATCGAATGCCCGACTCTCATTGTGATATGTTGTACCCATTCAACAAAAATTAAAAGAGTATAAATATATTTCATGATAAATAAACAATATACACAATATTTTTTGTTGTAAGTCTTATTACATATTTATATTACAATAATTTAATTTTGAAAATCAACTTGAAGAGTATGCCTTGTATATGTGACCTTTTGCCCTTTTATGCCTCACAGTGCAGAAAAGCAACATCGCCGATATTAGACCAAAAAGCTGGAAAACGAATAAAAATTATTTAGCATTTCTCTATACTACATAATTATATATAAGAGGTTTTACTTGGAAAAATGATATTATGAGGCCAACAACTCCGACGACATGAAGCTGTTTGACAAACCACATCAATACTTTTTCAGAACAGCCTTTGGTATACCAGTGGTCCTGGCCTCCGGGTTTGCCGCACCCTGTAAATAAACTTATTGCACAATCTGGCAGAATTTTCAAATTTAATGATAATTTTCCACAAGAATTTAACCAAATTCAGTCTGAAATATCATGCACAAACATATTAATTTTTAATTAAATAAATTTTATAATTATGTATTAAACTTACTCATTATATAAATTTTACCTATTAAATGACATAATTCACTTTCTTACCAGCTTTCTTAAATGCTGGAAGGCAACAGGAATCTGGGACCCTTCGTACATTAGGCCATGCATCTATTGAATACCAGTCTTCGTATGACTTGATACCACAACAATGAAACTAGAAAAAGAATAAAATCAGTAACAGAATAAAAAGTACGAAAAGGGTAAAATATGAATTAGTAATCACTTTGGTATGCGTCTCATTCCAAATCATGTCCAAGCCGTTGTTCGAAGAGTTTCTATAATGTTTCTTTATTCCATCTAACAGTTCATCTTTGAGAAAATCATTAAGGCTTTCTCGATAGACAAATGCGAGTGTAGCAAGGACAAATTCAAGTAGAAACATGAATATGACCAAACTAAAATACTAGAAAATAATGCATTGTTAATTTTTTAATATTAAGTATTTAAAGAGAATTTAATTTACTGCAACTCTTTTATATTTCTTGGATAATAATATAATAAATTGATGCTTTGAGCAGTTTTATTCCTTTACTTGGCCATACCAGTCTACTTATGTTCACTGTACGCTCAGATTAGAATAATCAGTTAGGAAAAAACTGCACTGAATTAATTAAAAAAAAAAAAATATCTCACTGTTATAAGCATGCATCGACTCTGGAACCAGCTTCCACAGCAAGCAAAGAATGTAACAAGTACGGTGATAAAGCCGATAGTCACAAATATAAAATCAGCGCTGAAGAAAGAGTATTGGGGCACGAGACTGGCATAGCCTTCATGGTTTAATCTGAGCCAAATGCCAACTCCTAAAATGCCGCAGCCTGAAAGCTAAAAGAGAAGAATTACATATTTATTTACCCTCAGCAGACTTCCTAAAATGGTGACCATGTCTGTCATAGTAAACTAAAGAAATGAAATGTAATTGTGCAATGTTTCTTCTGTTAGCAAAGACTTTTATTGTAATTTTTAATTACATGATGAGTACTAAAAAAATCAAATTCTTCTTCTTCTCAAGGTTTTCAGATTTAAATGGTTGGTGGAGAAAGGAAAACAAAGTATTCTGTGACATAAAAATAATTGATTTTAGACTTGTTTTAATTGTTCGGACTCATGGCCCATAATGGACCATTACCTCATTCTGCTCTAAATACAACAAAAGGTTTTAAATTAACTAACAATGGGCATAGCTAGAAATTTACTTCTGGAAAGAAAGATTTTTACTTCACGGAGACAATCATTAATGTATACCAAAAAGAAATTATGTTGGTTAAAAATTTACATTTTGACACTAGAGTGGTTCTAATTTTGACCTTTCTAAGCAAAATATCTTATACTTATATATAAAATTTTAAAATTTCACCTTTATTAGCTTAAATTATTTACAAAATATGTTAGTAATCTAATCAATTAAAAATTAAATTAAGAATTATGTAAAAGTTTGGTTTCTAGTTGAATATATGGGATAATGAATTTGAGCTTCTAGATAATAATCTTGGAGCAGACAAACTGCAATTAATTGTCTGAGAAGACATGGAATGGAAATAAATTTAGGGGCTTTTCATACTTCTTACTGTCTCTTCTAACTGTTTTTATCTGCTGGCAGTACTCCTGGGGCTAAAACCTCATGGATATGCGTTGATATTCTTGATAAAAATTTACATTAGAGATTTAAATTCAACATCACAAAATTTTAACTCTATTGCGAAGTTTTGCATCAAATATAAACCACATATTTAAGTAGTTCTCTGTTTTAAATTTCAATAAATTGTAAATTTTTTAAATGAATCAAACAAAGGTTTAATTCAAAATGTTAAAAAAATTGTGCAAAATTCAATCATAATTGTGATTTTTATTATGCAAAAATGGTCATATATGTTAAATCCACACTATTATCACATTTTCTTGATATATCAATCTTTATCAAGATCTATTCACAAAAAAATTATATTAATCATTATATGTTTAGCAGTCATAATTGACCTATTTAATTATTGCAATTAATTATAATTTTTATCTAAAGTCTAGGTTGAGAAGTTAGTGTCACGAGCGGGATTCAAACCTACAACCTTCGGAATGTTTATCTATTATATTGACTGAGGCTAGGAAAGAACACATTTAATATGTAATCTATACTTTGAATCTTTTTATATTAGAAAGTATTAACCATAAATTTTCATAGTTCTTCTTCACTTAAACCCTCTACAGGCAAGGCTCTCAAATGTAAGGCTCTGAGCAAGGCGGGTCACTAGTGATTCAATCATTGTTTTCTATTTTATTTCGTACTACAAATGTACTACTAGATTTTAAAAACAAAAATAATTTTAACGTAGAAAATTACTGATTTTTTTTTATTACATTTATTTATAACACTACAAAACTTGTATTAAGTAAATAATTTCTATTTCTACTGAAGTTGCCCAGTGACAACACTCCTTCCCACTGACACCTCGTCATTCATTGCTCACTTGCTTCAATTGTCTTTCTTAGCCATAGGATCTTCTTTATCCCAAAGGATTTGTTTTGTGTTTATTAAGAATAATAAGGAATGATAATAACAATAAGGAATAATAATAAAGGAAATAAAATATAAATAATATAATGCAATAACCCACCAACTCTGCCTTGCCTGAGAAGTGTTAAAATTAATAGCGTAATATAGTAGTAATATAGAATATCCTCCCAAAACATCATTTTAAAAATGAGTAAACAGACATCTGTACCAATATATTTTTTTAAATATTTTAACTTTCATTATTTATACCCATAGGATCTTCTTAATCCCTAAGGATTTCTTTTGTCTGTATTAGGAATACATATTTATTTTTAAAAAAATTATGCTTACCCATAAAAGGACGTTGACGTAGCAGAAAATATATCTAACGCATGTATAGCCGCTTCTGCTCATATTTACTCCACCTGGAATAATTTATAAAATGAAACTGAGTAAGCCATGAGCTAAGAAGCTCAGAAAGTTAATCGCGGGGGCTTTTGACATAAATGTGCGACGTTGGACGTGACGGAATGCGATTCGCAAAGGGAACTCGGTACCCGAAGGGCGCTGAATAGGCCAAAATGGTGTTTTCATAATTATCATCAATGAAAATATGCTTCTATGGCGAATAAACGTGTTAAGCCGTGTAAGAAATTAATGTATTGAAACTTCCACGTCCCAAACGGCGCTGTATTTATAATTTCGCTTTTTAAGCGGTTGCTGTTATTTTTTTTTCCCGAAGAAGATACTTTATCATTAGAGTAGTAAGAAAGCTGGTATCACGACGGGGTGCTTCGATCTTAAACGTTTTCTCCTCGAATTTCTCCTTTACACGTTGATAGCAAGAGAACATGCAATTTGTTACGTCCTGTTAATACACTTTTGCAAAATTTGATGTGTTTAAAAGTTCAACGAGTCTAATACCACCTATTTTATTCAAATAAATAACACAGATATGGTCTATTGTTACTAGAGTTTGTTCTACAAATAAAGAGTAAATTATTCAAGCAACGTTACAACTTACAAACTTGACTTATTTTTTCAATATTGTAACTTTTCCAAAGATTTATAGACATGTCGTCGAGGAAAGCCATACGAACCAACGGATTCTATCATATTTTTGATTAGGATAGATCACAGATAAGCTGGATGTCGCAAAACATCATACACCCTCTCTCTCTTTTCGATACTACTCGTTGATTGAGTTATATAATTATTTTGATATTGAATAATTCTTAAAGATCAGTTTCATATTTCGTAGATATCATATGTCAGGGAAAATTTGATTTGCACACACAAACACAGCGATCATTTCTCCTCAGCCTTGGCCATCTTTTTCGATAGCGTCAACGTTTACAAAAATCCTTTTCTGTCTTGGATGAAAATTTTAAAACAATAGTACCCAAGACAATGTAAATTTGCCGTTAAAGCCGGCAATTGTTGGTGTTACCGCTGATTCGGCCGGATTTTGCCTAAGGAGAAAACGTAGAAAAGCGCGCAGTCGATCCGACTGACCCGATGATGATGACATGTCCGATACTGACCGCAGAAATAAGAGAGAAAAGAATCGGTCATCCAAGAAGGCTTCTATTACAAATACACGGTCCAGTTACCCCGGGCAAAAGAATTCTACGGCTGAAAAAGTTTCTTTCCGCAAGCGTTAATACCTATTTTTATTTTTTATTTAGACTGAGGGGCACACCCAATAAAAATAAAAAGTACAATTAACTTTAATAAGGACTATTAGCGGTATATTCTACGTCGGAAGAGAAAAACTAACAACTATGCGTTTAGTAACATTTGCTCTGTGCTCCATGGATGTCATTTATAGAAGATAATCGAAGGCAATCAGGTAAAAGGAAAGAAATGCGGATTTAGATTTGTAATGGTATGTATTTACATGATTGACATCTCGATATCTAAAAACTAATGATGACAATTTAAAATTTGAATCCAGCCCCAAATCCATAATTAGACTGTCGTAAGATCGATCCTGGCTAAATTTGAACGTTCCGAGTCATTGAACCCTCGTGTTTTCCTTTGCCGAACGGAAATCAAGTGGTGTTGGAGTGGTGGCGATGAGGAGTATGTTGTGTATCCTAAATAGGTCGAGACTATGCTTTCTCCGACTGTGCGTGTGTTCCTTAGGAGAAAGGAATCGAACTTGGTTCACCCAAGTAAACCTTGGCTTAACTCTTGAGAAAACCACAGCTATGGAATAAGAGAAAATTAAACGTATTGTGGACTTTCGAAAAAAAAGTACCCTATTATGGCAATATTGACTGCCGGCTTTTAACACTATAGTGTTTAATCATTTTCAACTGGCCTTGATCTGATGTAGACCAATAATACATTAAACATCCCTTATTTATTTTTAATATATTTTTAATCCTTAATTTTTTATTAATATTTTTAAGGTTTCCCCCTTTTTCATTTGCTTTAAAGACAATTTTCCGATTGTTTTTTTCTCATCGATCGCCGATCAATAACGACTGAAAATTCAGTACAAAAACAAACAATTTGAAATGCATAGTTGGGCGGTTTTTATTGTTGTATTTGTGTCACGCCTAAACATTGCTGATGACGCGTATTTAATACGGTTTAATTTAAACGTTGTATTTGAGCTTCCTTTTAAGCGATAAGGAATATAAAAAATAAAAATGTTCGAGTTTTCAAGTTTCAACTTTGTGAGAAAAATTGACATTTTTATAAGAAGAAAGCAGAATAAAGTCTGTTTTTGAGTGATGATATTATCATTGCATTATTCACTACTACTACCAATGCTTCAAAATAAAACAATGAACGTCTGTTTGCACTATCTAATCTTTAGCATTAAAAATGTATGAATCTAACACAACATGGCACTCACAACTTGACACAACATGTCACTACATTTCATAAAGAATAGTTTATAAGTTGACTTCCAAACAAACGAGACACTAAGACACTAATAAGAACAGCAAATTGTGATAATTGCCCGATTTCAAGCTAATTTTCTTGATTACGTTGGTTTTTGTTAACACATCTCCAGTTCTATGAGCAGGAAAGAATATTTCTTTCAAAACTACCTTATGAAATTGTAAAATTATCGAACGTCTGATATTGTTCTAGTGAGATGACACGAAATATGTTAGTCAGACAATGGACAGTTTAGAAGTTGGGGGGACTACCGTTATTGAAGCGAGACTGACCTTTACCAAGGCAACGGTAACACTAGTCAAAAGCTAGACCGCTAGTTCCTTCGGGCTACCCAGGCAGATTCTTCTACACAAATTTCTTTAAAGGTTTTCCTATTGGGTTTCTAATTTAGAAATGGTTTGATCGATAAAAAAACATTTCGTGATTTACAACAAAATAAAAACTAAAGACACTTTTAGACTGTTAACCAACCGTGGACGCGGGCGCTACCCGTAACCAGCTATTCTTACGAAACCTTGGGAATTAAAAAAATAAAGAAAATAAAATAAAGGAAAATTATATCCAGGAGTAATCCCTGACAAAGATTCTTGGGAATTAGTTTCAATACGGGTTCTCTTCCCGTGAGAAATTTGGCCGATTTTTCCGACCCTGTGTATATATTCAAAGAGGATTTACACGTTAAACTGTTCGGCTTGGAATGTTTGACTTTAGAAATCGAAAAAACGAGGTGATAAATGTTTGAATATTTATGTTTGAACAGTAGTGTCCCTGAATAATAATAACACCTAGGTGAAAATTGCACCACGTTTTCTTCTTCGTCAAGCATAACTATTGATTTTCTTTACTATAACGCTGTAAAATTGTTCTATGTTTTCATAATTGGCGCCGTTGTCTTCCACATCAGCAAGCAAGTATTTCAGAATTTCTTAAATACCCCGTTTTATTAAATATTTGAGACAACAAATTATGGATCGTGGTGTCCGAGTGGTTAGGGTGTACGACTTCTATTTGCCACATAATGGTTCTGGATTGGAATTCCGGCACACTCCATGGAATTGTAATTGAGAATAATATGAAAAAAAAATTGTAATAATTGTTTGGCCCCTTCTTCGGCGACGTTAGGCTCTCCTGTATGACAGAAATTACTAATGGACTTAATTTCCAAAAAGTTACATTCATAATTTAAACTTTCTACCTACTTACTTTACCTAATTAAGATTATTTACTCGTACTAATTTCAATTATTTAACCGGTTTTAACGGATTACTTTTCTTAGACTATTTTTTTCCTTTCAGTTATTTAAGAGAAAAATTCGCCATATATTATTTAAATTTTATGGGAATTAAATTAAATTATGAAAAATCCTAGAAATTTGTTGTTGACTCAAAGGATAAAAGACGAGTGAGTCCTTCATGGATCTCGGGCCATTCTTATCAGCATATACATGTACGGTAGGTATAGTCCTTAAATATCTAGTTGATGATGTTTTTGTGCTAAAACAAGTTTTAGCATATAGTAAGTTTGTGGGATTTTGAGAAAATAAAAATTGAAACTAACGCCTAGGAATGGGCGATATATATCTGTCAACCACTTTTATCGATACTTTATTCCCGATATATCGCTCTTTTGATATATATCGAGAACAATCTTCCGATATGTCAATAGATTCTTTTGATATATCATTCGATATATATTTTTAACTTAGCACACATTCATTCTACTGTGACTAATCCGACTGCCATTGCAACGTCATAAAAACGTGACCGCAATATCTTAAAGCAGTTAAATGTTGGTGCACCCGATTCAAGTTCTGAGACAGATCTCATGGAATCCCCTGGATGGATTCCTTCGGCCCACCATAAATCCATTGCCTATGCTTCGAAATTAAAAAAAAGGGGGGAGTACAAAGAGCTAACAAAATATTTAGATGTTGCTAATTCCATCAAGATCCTCTGACTTGGCAAGAAATGAAACGTTTGTACCCAAATTTGTACAAAATTTCAGAAAGACATGCAACAATTCCGTCAACTTCGGTACCAAGTGAAAGTCTTTTTCAAAGGTTGGAGCTACAGCATCATTGTCAAAGATTGACTCCTGCCAAAAATGCTTTTAAAACGTTTAATTTTGTCATTACTAACTAAAAATAAGTTTTGATACATTAAAGTAGAATTGCTGCATGTCTCCTGTCATTGCATGTTTGTATGAAGTTGTACTTGTTTAATATTTCTGTATTTTTGTTTTTATGTTATTATATTTTTAAATAAAAAAAGGCTTTTCCTCATCTGATATCTAACTTTCCATACATCTCTTTCATTGTGTAAAAGATTTAGAACAAAAATTGTGAATACATCGAGGGAATCTCGATGTATCTACGATATTTTCTGATTTATTTAAATATATCGCCCTTCCATACTAACGCCTAATCAGAAGTTCTAACTTATGTTAAAGGTTCGTACTGGGCAAAATGTCAAACACGTGTTTTAATGAAGTGCAGAATGACCAGAGG